CCTCCGACAAGCTTTGTAGTTTAGCCCTCCACGGCCCTCCACATATTTCAAGGTCGTTACCATATCATCCCCGTCCCTTCTGTCCTTGCCAAAGGCTTCCGCATGCTCCGTCGCTTCCGCCGTGTTAAAAAAGAGACGCCCGGTCCTTTTTTTCTGTGAAAGCGCTATCTGGAAGCCATGGCCCATCTGTAGATTTACCATGATCTACCATGATTTACCTATATACTGTATATAAAGATCATCATAACATGTTCATGGTGGTGTTCTATAACCATGTTGGATTCCCAGAGGCTAAATGGATAATAAACCATTATATAACTAGGGATAACAGAGGTATATCTCCTAATCCAAGTAAGCAATCGCGGAAAGTCAAGGTTCACGAAAAGGACTGAAAAGGATATCAACAAATTTGGGAAGGTCCCATCGATTCCTACACGGTTGTACAAAAATGATGTATGGCAAATTTAGGGGGTATCGCTTGAAGGAAAATGATGCATGCGCATAGGTATGACATAATCTTGAAAGGGGGTATCGCTATTTGAGAAGGTCCCATCGCTTGCCTCATGTTGCACAATTTCTGAAAACCCATGTCCGTACCTTACGATGCCTGGGAGGGTGCCCCCAATTGATGGCAATTTCGTGGGGAACATTGTGTCTACAAATTTTCCGCAGAAAATAAAAAAGATTAAGAAAAGGTTATGTTCTATATATGTTGGCAGTCTATGTAGGGGAAATGTGGGTCTTTGAAAGCAGCCAAAACTGGTGAGTTGTTAGAAGCTTCAAACTTGGGTAAGTAAAGCAAAACCAACAAGACCTGAAAATCATGTCTACAACTAACCAAACCTGGGAAGATTGCAAGTGGGACATCAAAGCAAGCAAACTTGGGGAATATGGTTTTGCTTGAAAATAGGGGGCCCGAAAAATCCAAAAGAACAATGATTCATCACTAGTTCCTTTCCCCAAATACTAAACGGATGCGAAATTAAATTTGCATTTTTTATTTTTCTTTTTTGGTATGTTTTTTTGCGTCCAGGCTCCCTTCCTTGGTTTTTGCAGCTAAAATCTCTCATTTGCTGCATGTTGTCGCTAAAATCTCTCATTCGCACTGTTCATCAATTTTTCGACTGGTTTCAGGATTTGTTCAACGGTTTTTATCGGGTTTTCCATCGTTTTCATTGGTTTGTCCATGATTTGCTTCAGTTTTTCCATGGTTTTCTTCAATTTTCCATAGTTTCTTTTTCAATTTTTCCATGGTTTTCTTCAATGTTCCATAGTTTTTTTTTCAATTGTTCTATGGTTTTCTTCGATTGTTCCATGGTTTTCTCCATTGTTCCATGGTTTTCTTCAATTTTCCCATGGTTCTCTTCAATTTTTCCATAGTTTTCTTCAATTGTTCTATGGTTTTCTTCATTTTTCCCATTGTTTTCTTCAATTTTTCCATGGTTCTCTTCAATTTTTCCATAGTTTTCTTCAATTGTTCTATGGTTTTCTTCATTTTTTCCATTGTTTTCTTCAATTGTTCTTTAGTTTTTTTCCATTGTTCCATGGTTTTCTTCCATTTTTCAATGGTGTTCTTCAATTTTCCGTGTTTTTCTTCAATTTGTGCATGGTTTTCATTCAGTTTTCCCTTGTGTTCATTTATGGTTCCAGAGTTTTCATTGATTTTTACATGGTTTTCATGGTTTTTTCCGGAAGTTTTCATTTATTTTTGGAGATGCACGATGTGCAAACTATAAATTGTAAATGTAAAGAGGTATATACGCATGGCTAATCATGATTATATGTATATTATATGCAGATCAGTGTATTTACAAGTGTATTTAATATGTATATATATATATATATATGCAGGGTTTGGTTCAGGGTTTATTTAGGGTTGGTACAATGGTTTCTTCTAGATTTGTTTAGGGTCTATTTAGGGTTGGTTTAAGGTTTCTTTAGGGTTGGTTTAGGGTCTGGTCAGGGTTTGTTTAGGGTTGGATTAGGGGTTATTTAGGGATACAACATGCACATACAAATAGCCATAATTACGCGGATGCACATCCATGCGCATGATTATTTTTAGTTTATTTTGGGATCAAAGTTGTGTATATAAACAACCACAAACATGTCATATATATATATATGTTTGTATACCTTTGAATAAATATGCATGTGTTTATTTATACACCTATAGATACATACGTCTATATGTACATATATATATATATGTGTATATATAAGTGCACATATATATATATATATGTAGATTTAAATATAGTCGAATCAAACTAGTGCATTGAAAAGTGTGCAAAGTTTGAATTTAAATAATTTAAAAAAACGGGAGGGGGGGATTGGGGGGGAGGGCGCAGCGCCTCAGATTGGAAACACCTATTTTCACATGCAAGGCGCTGGGTTGAATGTGATACTCAAGGTGTATAGACTACACGACATGCACCCTGGAAACATGTGGAATACAGGTTAAGGCACAACGATGCACAATAGTTTCATTGGATGTTATCATCGTGTTGGTTTAAGATCTCTTGAAATAAGGTTGGTGTAATGTATATTCTGGTTTGGTTCAGGGTTGGCTTGGGCTTTGAACATCATCTCGATGATAATGCAAACCTTTTAGATAGATAGATAGATAGGTAGATAGATAGATAGATAGATCGATAGATCGATAGATCGATAGACAGATAGGTAACTAGGTAGATAGGTAGATAGGTAGATAGGTAGATAGGTAGATAGGTAGATAGAGAGAGAGAGAGATAGAGAGATAGGTAGATAGATAGATAGATAGATAGATGGATGGATAGATGGATAGATAGATAGATAGATCGATCGATAGATAGACAGACAGACAGACAGATAGGTAGATAGATAGATAGATAGGTAAATAGAGAGATAAAGAGATAGAGAGATAGAGAGATAGAGAGATTGAGATATAGATGTAGATGTAGATGCAGATGCAGATGCAGATGTAGATGTAGATGTAGATAGATTTAAATAGATATAGATAGATATAGACATAGATATAGACATAGATATAGACATAGATATAGACATAGATAGACATCGACAGATATAGATAGGTATAGATAGTATAGAGTTAGATAGATATAGATATAGATAGAGATGGAGATGGAGATGGAGATAGATATAGATGGATGTGTATCTAGAGCACAACATGCACCTGGTGAACATGCTTCACTGATAGATTGATCGATAGATGATAGATGAGTCATAGGAGCCAGGAGCCACCAGAAGCCACAGAAGCCACAGAAGCCACAGAAGCCACAGAAGCCACAGAAGCCACCAGGACCGTAGAAGCCACAGAAGCCACTAGGAGCCACCAGGAGCCACCAGGAGCCAGGACAAAAAAAAAATGCCAAAAAAAATACCCCTCCATACTAAACCCCCCCTCCCCCAACAAACAGTTTTAAAAAAATTGAAGTAGTATGTACTACTGTAGGTGGCAATATTTTTTCCTCTTAAGATCGCCATTGTCGGAGAAGGAAAAGTGGTATCCAACTGATCCAACCACACATGGGTTTGTCGCCAAAGAACTTGCTGCAGCGCAGAACCATTTGGCCTTGGCTACGCCAGGAAGCTGCTAGCCACATTTAAAAACATTGACCGAAATCGAGAGAATAAATATAATAAAACTATATTTGTCTATGTGTGTTGTCTGTTGTTTACACTCATAGCTGGTCTGTATTAGATGGGTTGTCAGCACAAAATGCGCAGAGTCCGTATGAATCACATGTGTCACATGAGACACCTGCGAAATGGCAGTTTATACTCCATCGTCGATGGCCCGCGAATTTTGCAACTGACCCTATGCCCTTTGGACGGACACGGCCACTGACAACTTTATCACCAAATGTTATCTGATAGAAACTCTATGACATGAATCATAGACAACAACTCATTTAGGATTCAGTTGGACAGGAGGCCACAGAACAGGACACTTGCCAACCGTCTTCATCCCTCCTGGACCCTTTTTTCGACACGACCTGAATTCACAGACCCCCAAACCACCGCACCGCACCTGACATGCTTCCGTTCGGCCCACACGCGGCCTCCGCGGCCCGCGGCACCCGCCCCGCGCTTCTCGCCGGCGGCCCGTTACATCAAATGGTTCAGCTGCGGAAGAGAACGTCTTGCACGCAAAACACGTGTAATTTTCGCATGAAAGAATTGGGTTTCAACAAACAAGACGGTGGATTGCAACTGCAACAATTTTCTAACAATGAATATGTTTGAGTATCGGGTCAAAATCCAAGGCCCTGAAAACCTCAGATTGTAAGAAGTTTTGCTTTGGGAAGCAAACCGCTTGAGCAGAACGATAGTTGGGGTACCCAGTGGCGTTTCCCAGGTTTTCGGAAGGTTTGTTGGTTCCATTTAAGTGCGCGAAAACCCGTGTTTCATCTAACGACGATCATCCATCCTTTAAGGCCAAGGGAAACTGCATGCAGGCTCTTGCAGCGCAGACAAAGAAGGGCCGCTCATCGGTCATGAGCACCGCTAGTGGACTGGACTTCCAGGGCCACACCAAGAATATCTCAACATGTAGTCAAAACATATGAAAAATTGGGTTTCAACCTCGCTTCTCAAAAGAAGCCTCAGGGGTACTTCCCGGATTCACATGATCAACCTGCAACCCAAACATGGTCATCTCAAAGTCACAATTCATCTCCCGACTTCCCAACCCGGTTTTTGGGTCTCCCTGTCAGTTCCAAACCCCATCGATTCAATACGTTGCACTACATTTTTTGGTGGGTCCCTTAATCATCAAAGAGAAAGAAATTCTCCAAACACAATGGAAATCCCACGTTTATAGTTTATAGATTGCTTTTCATGAATGTTCCTGCTGAGAATGTGGACGTCTCCACTAAAAATTCTTGATTTTCCGACCCAAAAGCCTGGGTGTTCCTACGTAAACGACGTTGATACCTCTAAAAATGGATGGCGAATACTAAAAATCGATCCTTCAGTTCCCCCATCCGGCCCCTCGCCTGCGGAGACCACCATGGGAGGCTTGGGAGGCGGAGGCTTCGGCGGCAGGCCTAGCATTGAGCACTTGGCAGAGCAGAAAATCAACCCAACAAGGGGAAATCGAAATCATTGGGACAGATATCGTGTGGATATCTCAAAATACGCACAGAACCGGATGTTTGCCCCAAGCCCTGTCTTTTCTCGCACGAAACGGTCCTTCTTCTCCACGGACCCCACGAAATCTACGAATGGTTGTTGCTGCAAATTATTGTAAAACGAGCCATGAAGCGAATTTATGGAATTTCGTGTTCTAGCCGTGGCAAGGGGCCACACCTATTGTACTATCCATCCCTGCAAGGCGGTTAGAACCATGGATGAAACATGTGTTGAAACGGTGGGGAATATGAGATATATTGTGTCATCTTGGGCGGGTTAAAATAATGTTGATATAAGAAAAGGAAATTCATAGGAATATCATGGAATATCTAATCGGAATATGTTTCAAATGAAAATGGGGATGTATTTACGGATAGAATGGAGATATCATGGGGGTTCAGGGATTATTCTGCTATGATTATTGCACGGCCCAATCTGTGGGTCCCTAGATGGCTGTGAAAAGTACATGACTTTGGATGTTCATGTCAGTAGGTGCTCGGCAACTATGGTTGGCAATAACTGTATTGACATGTAGCCAACATGTATTTACCACTATAATGATCATACTATGAAAAAAATGTGACAAAAACACTAATTATATGTATACAACATGTGTAATAACCTTTCACAAACTATCCTGTTATGTTAGGATCATAATGACCATGACATTGTCTTATAACCCTTACCAACTACCATTGCCATTCACTTCCCAGCCCTGCTTCCTCCGTGCCTGGGAGGGTCGTATTCTCGGTGCTTGTAGTGCTTGTAGTGCTGGTATTCGTTGTGCTCGTGCTCCTGAGTGCTGACTGGTCATCTTCAGAGCCTCGAAGGGTTTACCAAATTAGGCATGGCTTCGTTTTGGGGTTTACCATGGTTTACCATGGTTTACCACATCCCAAATCATCCGGCAATCCAATGACCATAAAAAGCATGAATGAAAGAAGGAGGTCTGCATACAAAACATTCTTGAGCTTGAGCGTGCGTGTAGTCCGCCATGTCCTATGCATGGTGCCCCATTGTCAGTTTTGATATAGTGGGATGATTGTATGGTGCTGTCATCTGCACGCTGGCTCTACTTTCATCTAAAATCATTTCCTTACTTGTCTACTTCATCTAATTATAGATTAAATGGCGTATTTGTTTGTCACTGTTTCACAATGTTTCACATATCAGCCCACTGAACAAGGTAGATATTTTGGGGGACCAGAACGTACTCAGTACTCAACTGAAAAATTGCGGGTAATTGGATGTCGCTATCATGCTGGGATTCAACCAAGCCCCCACGGAAGGGGACCCACCAATAGTAGCCCTTGCTAGTGAGTGGTGGTTGGCAAGAATAAGAGCTTACATATGGCCTGGTTTTTTTGGGGCTGGGCTCATCTTGAAAAGGGGGTTGATTGAATCGCCATGTCATGAATCCAGGGAAGCCACCAGCTACCATATCTCTCGCTGATGTTGGGGTAGGAGCTGAAGAAATTGAGGTGAAAAGTTTTTGAAAATGAGCCCCTACATCCACAATCCACATCCGGTGCATGATCAAAACGCTAACCTCCAAAACATCATCCTTTTGGCCGCGCCACGTGGTGCCACCAAGCATCGTTTCCGTGGTGGTCGTTTCTGTGACAGTGGTTGTGGTCACTGTAACCTGGGCCAAAAAAGAGACTCTCCTGGCAACAATGCGACCCTTCACAACCAAATAAGATCCAATAAGTAGAATGCATGCGTTAAACATACGTACATACATATTTCGTATATTATACATTATATGTATATCATATGTATATCATATGCATATCATATGTATATCATATGTATATCATATGTATATCATATGTATATCATATGTATATCATATGTATATCATATGTATATCATATGTATATCATATGTATATCGTATGTATATCATATGTATATCATATGTATCTATATATATGATATGATATCAATATAAAATGAAAGCAGCCAATAGCGTTCAACACGTGCTGATGCTGCATAATCTTTCAGTAGGTCAAAGCCATCAAGTTCCCCCAAACTCTATACGGTGCGTCCAAAACAGGAGATACAGTATGTCTGGCAATTTGAATGGGAAATAAAGGCGGTTCTATATACATAAACACGTTTGGAACCATGTTTGGGGGTCACCAATTTCCCAAACCCCAAGTCATGGCTTAGACCCATCCAGACTCATTGAGTTTGAAAGATGCCTTGAAATTGGGATCTGCGCGGGTATGATGGATTCTAATGAATGATGTTTGGTGCTTGAATCCCCCATTCTTGTTGCTAAAATATGCTAAAATCACAACTAGATACTGTTGGAGATGTCGGTATTCCCGGTGAGGTCTTCGTCCTTCACCTAGTCGTTCCTCCTAGTAATCCTCCGAATATCAAATACCACCCATATTAGGAGGTTTCCTAAGACATAGGGGTACACCAAATCATCCAAGTCATTAGACCATGACTCGACTTAGAAACTTGAAACCCCATGGTGACTTGGGGATGCCCCATTCAATACGAAACCATGGTATCAGGCTGAATTATAGTAATTCACTCACCTGAAAATAGCTTAACAGTGCGGCTATTAGGCTTGATCCCCTTACAAATCCCATCATTGCAGTCACGACGCGAGGTCATGATCAAATTCATCCAGAAGCTATTCGGATCTATTCGGTGGAAGGTGATCAAATCCTTCTGGCTTTTATTCCAAACAGTATCTGCTAATGGCTGGTCGCTCACCGTCTTTTCCAGCCAAAAAAAAAACACCCCGCTGCGCGCGCCACGGTGGTGGTGGTGATGGTCGTGGTGGCCGAGGTAGACGCCTCAGGACTGAGACTATCCAGTGGAAGTGCAGCCAATGGGGTTGAGAAACTGGGGTAACTCCATGAAATATATTGAAATATACTAAATATATCAAGACAAAATAATTGGAAGACTTGAAGACTTACTTTCTTCGAGTGATCCCTATGACATTCTGACATTGAGACCCTCACCTGGCAGGTGGCGAATGAGTTATAGCTATTGGCACACTGAAATCAAAGGCCACAAAGGGACATTCCCAGACAACGCCTTGAGAAAAGCCTTAGATTTCCATGATAGACATGGGTACACCTGAGGAAGGGTTGAATCTTCAGACCGGGCGAACTGTAAATGTTGGTCATGTTGGTCATGTTGGTCATGTTGTGTCATTTGTTGTGTCAAACATCCCACTTTAAAACTCGTCAGTATCCATGTTTCAAACCCCACTGTGCTAATATTGGACTCGGTAAGCGTATCCTGACATTTGCACTAGATGTTGTCCACCAGTTGTCAACTAGCCATCCTGAAATGTATGATTCTGGTCGGTTGCCCTGCCAACCATCGAAGCTAGTTCCCATAGCTACAGTAAATCCCGCGGTCTTTACAAATCTTTAAAGTAGCCCCGACTTCTACCCAACTTCACTCTTGTAATATCAAGTCATTTTGCGTCCTGCTATCTGGCCTACATAGTTGCTTTCTTCGGGCTGCACCCGTGGGAAGCCTCAAATTTAAGACCCAAATAGTGTATACCCCCAAATGGCCATTGTGCATCATTTTCGTCTGAGCTTCCCCACCGTTGTTGCCGTGGTGGCGGTCGTTGCCGCCGTTGCCGTGGTGGCTGTTGCTGCCGTGGTGGCCGTTGTTGCCGTGGTCGCCGTGGTGGCGGTGGTTGCTGTTGTGGCGGTGGTGGCTGTGGTGGCTTCTGTAGTGGTGGTATCATCCTGAAGTCAAGCAACAAAGGTCTTGTTTGCAATGGCATGCGGCCAAGAGTTGGCTCACCCAACACAAATTGGCAAGCGATCCAACCACAATGATGATTTCACCAATAATCATGCGGAACCTAACAACAACATTGGGAGAGTTGCTACAAAGGATTGCAAAAGCAACAAAATGAAGCAACCCCATGTAAGAGAGAAACCATCTTCTCGAGGGTCACCAATTTCTACTTCTGTAACCTTTTGTGTTCTTTTAAGGGTAGGACCGACAACCATGCAAAGTTGAACGATCTTTTGACACCAAAGAATCCCTTGAGTATGGTTGAAAAATCTCAACCCACAAAAAAGATCAAAAAAGTGGATGATTTCAGAACAAATCAGAACAAATGGGTGTGTGTTAAAATAGGGTACCCCCCCAAAAGACCCATATTTTAATAGAGAAAATGATGATTAACCAATGGATGTGGGATAGAGGTACCCGGGTACTTTGACCCATGCTGGGCAACTCCTCGAGCCTTGTCCTCTGTGATGAGTGTCATTGCATGAAGTGCTGCCTGCAGCTACTAATTCGGAAGTCGGAAAACCGCAAAGAGCATTTTTCCTCTGCAGGAAATAGAAAATGTGTACAAACATAGAGTCAAGCCCACCTTCCTAATCCTGTCAGGGTGAAGGGCATTGCTTCAAAGCTTCAAACAGCGATCCCAACGGGTAGCCCGCTGCAATATATTCAATCATTCATATCCATATTTTGAAAGTTGAGTCCCTATTGGTGTTAGTCTTTGATACTCATCATTCAGTGCAAAAGGCACATGTTGCATCATATTATTAGTTATAAGGTATAAGTTATAATATTCCAGTGATATAAGTTGTAACATCCCAGTGGTATTCCCAATATAGGTATATACACAACCCACATACAGCCATATGGTGGTTTCCTGAAATGGTGGTACCTGCAAATCATCTATTTAATAGGATGTTATATTATAAACATTTATAAACCATCCATTTTGAGGTATTCCCATTTATAGAAACCCCCATATATAACCACCCATCATGTAAATATTACATTAATATGGCAATACCTGGCCTGCACCAAAGCCGCGCCTCCTGGTGTCTTCTCATCACGGTGGCCCCATTCGCGGAGATCTGGATCTCCTGAGGCTTACACATCCAAGTGGAAAAATGGAATGCTATCCTGTTGTTTTTTGATTCCCAATACCTGATGATGATGATGATGATGATGATGATGATGATGATGTAGAGTCGCAATTCCAGGAGCATCTCAACTCTGGGCACTGGCCTCATGCTTCACGTAGCTGTGGCAGCTCAACACATTGCCCAAGAGCAAAACGAGGAGCATCGGCCTATCATCGAGACCCAAACAGAAATCGGGTGCCTTGATGGCTGTTCATGTGTTCCATAGTTCATCCAACTCGAGCAATTAAATCATGTTGAGTCATACCCAAATGCTGCAAGTGGGTAGCTACACAACATCAATGACAAAAGCAATTTAGGGGTAGAATGGATGCGGCCAAAATTTTGATGATGAATCAAAATCATCAACTGGTTCATTGTCTATTCAAAGTGTGGGGGACTGTCTGGGGCTTGGGGTCCATCAGCTTTATTCCTGGCTCAGGCCCCCTCGTTTTCGTTAGATCCTCATCATTACTTTCACTGCTCCCGTTGGTCTCGTTGCTGATATACCCTTCTTAGCACTGTTAGTGCATGCATCAGAGCCCAACCAAAAACAAAGAAACCACGGAGGACCTGTGTCAAGTTGGCCTTGATAGCTATCAACTCACAGAATTGGCCATCCTTTGTACAAGACCAGTTCGCGGGTAGACATGTTCAGCTCCATTCAATGAATCCTGCGGAAAAGTAAAGAATAAAGAAATAGCGAAAAATGCAATGACATTATTATAAAACCTGGAAAAAAAAACATATTGCAAAATATTACCACGGTCATTTTTGGCTACTACTCGCTGATAACCAGCCAGTCCCTCCTTGCCAAATGCCGGTATTGAAATCACTATTTTTGCTGGCTCCTATCGTCTAAGTCTATTTGTACATTGTATCTCCACGGTTTTCATTCCCCAACCTCAACACACCAAGAGGTCCCGTGTCCATTGGAATCTGGTTTTCGGCCACCAGCCCCACTATACAAGGTCGGCCTCCGTGGCTGAAATCGTGTGTAGGGTCAATTTTGTAAACCAACTGAGCTGACTGCGCTTTCTCGCGCAAGCCGAGGCCCGTCTGTCTTCAACATGGAAAACACGTCCCACAGGCGTGGCGTTCTGAGCCCAAAACCCACCGGGAGATCAACAGATCGGAGATGCACAAGTCATGCAACGAATTGGGGGAAATCACCTGAGATGCAAAAAACTTGGCGACTCAGCCAGCAATATAGTTGCGATATAGCCAACAGTATATAATAAGTGCTTTGTAAATCTTAGTAATCATAATCGATCTGATATTCTGTATATACATATATCCATGTCCATATCATATACCTAACATGTTCTAACCGGAAACCCGACTATCACTGCCTTTTCAGCTTGCAGCCTAAACCACTGACGGTCAAAAGGTTTCGTCGCAGTCTTCCTTTTTCCAGGTGACGCGGCATCATCAACCTGATGCATCGTGATAGCCATGTTGCATAATACAAGAAACAACGTCCAGAAAAGATAATTGTTTGGTTTGTTCGCACAAAATCAGAGCCTCTAGTGAGCTCTACCCTCTTCTTTCTTCGTGAAAGACGGCTACACAGTGATTTGGGCGGGGCCGTTTAGCTTCCATTGGACTTTGGATGTTTCCCATCTCCAGTCCCCAAAAGCTCCTCCTATATGTCAAGTGGGCACAAGTCAAGCTATGGATTTGGGGTGCTTTACCCAACATGTTCAGACAAACCCATAGATCATCTTGTTGCTCATATCATCTTATATCTCCATTCTCTACCCATGATCTCCCGAGTTTTTCTTGTTCAATCCTTCAATCCTCCCTTTTTCATGGTAAATCCGCTCTGTTTGATGGTAAATTGCCATTCAGATGGATCAAACATGATTAAAACCTTCATTTTCTGGGAGAGTGTCCCATCTTTCTACATATTTTCAATGCCATCCTATGCCATCCCCACCTTTCCCGCCTCCATAGCCGCACGTGACCATGTCCTGGGTGTCTTGCGCCTCACCAGCCATGTAGGCAGCGAAGGTGCCAAAGTCGTGGACCGAGCAAAGAAGCTCCAACAAGATGGTGCCGTTCCTCAGTTTTCTGGGAAAAACACTTGGGGAACTGGTGGGGATATGGAGTTCATAGGGATTTCATTGAGTTCAATAGGGATTTCATGGATTCAGTAGGGATCCAATGGATTCAATCTGGACCTTTTTTTGGGGAACTTGATGGGGATTTGACGGGTATTACCCATGAGATGTAGGGATATCATCATTGAACATGACGACCAGCTGAGTTGGGACGACAAGCGGGGGGAATAGGGGAATTCTCTGGAAAAAAATCCGCATGGGGTTACATGTTTTTGGATTATACATATACATATATATATATAATTATATATACATAGAGGTGTGCATGTATATGTGTATATATAGGTAGGCAAATAGAAAGAAATCTGCATGATGATTTACATGTAGCTGCAGCATTGCATGACGGTTGAGCCTAAATATCTCTTCAAAAATGAAGATATGAATGCCGAATAGCTCACAAGAAACACACCAAAGTTGTTTGGGATCGGGATCAAGGAACAGGAGGATGTGATCAGCGCGTTTTTCGGGACGGGGAGCCAAATAGTAATTTTTAAAAAAAAATGCACGACATCCCAGTTAGGAAGTGGGTACTAATCATATCATTCAGTCATATTTGGAACTTTGGAGTATTCTGGGTTCGTCTGAACATACGGTACCAGGACGCTGTTGCATCCATTCGTTCATCATCCTTATTAAAATGGCCGTCACTGGGTATACTCCATTTTCAGACAAACCCAAATTTGTACACCAAACTATATACTGGTTGGTGGTTTCAACCATCTTGAAAAATATTAGTCAATGGGAAGGATTGTCCCATATATTATGGAAAATAAGAAATGGTCCAAACCACCAACCAGTATATCAGTTTAAACATGATCTTGGGTTGGTGTTGTGCATTATCTCTGCTTGACCTCTAAATCTATGGTGACATGATTCCAGCAGGCTGCTCTGCAGGCACAAGCTGCGTGGATATCTGACAGCTACACATTCGTCAATGATGAGGCGGATGTCGACAACAACGTGTGTGTCCATTCGACACAAACATCAAGACATGTCTTGTGTGCATATCACAAAAAGATAAATATAGCCGCAAATGTATCACCCACCTTCCATATGGTGAACCTACGCTGAAATCTCGTGAAAAAAAACACCTGTGCGGGTGTTCTTTGATTTTCAAATTGCAACCCATATTACATCTGCTATGGCTCAAATGCATGCCAATGTCAATATTGCAACCAGACATGGGCAACCAAACTCACTCACTTCGCTCTTGATTGAGGGCCATGAATCTGTGATGGTGGATGTCCAAACCCAAGAAGGAGGTGGAGGTGGATGTGAAACATCAAAAAAACATGTTAAAATCAGCCAAATAGATCAGTGGCCATTTCAAAATTTCACGAAGCTAAATTGGAGGTGCCTACCCTATCTCTTTCACTATATATATATATATATACATATACATACATATAGATATAAGGTCTGTTTTGTAGGGCTCAATTTCAGTGGAATTTCCTTCAGGATCTACAGCGTCGAGTCACGTCTCCTTGCCCAGCTTCGCTTGTTGCGAGGCTTCCTGCAAGGAGGCAGCCAACAGCTCCTGGCCAGGATTTTATGGGAACTTTGGGAAATGTCTCAGGGATATAATGGATTATACTGGGATATTATAAGCAACAATATGACAATGGGATTTTTCTAGGCATATATATATATAATTATATATATATATGTGTGTGTTTGTGTATACATATATATATATATATTACATATTTATTATTATTATCATTATTATTATCATTATTATTCTCATTATTATTATCATTATTATTATCATTATGGGATATTGTAACCAATGTGATCATTTGGGTGAGTCTGAAAAGCGGGAATGAATGGAGAAAATGAATGAAAATGATGATACAGACCTGGATTTGGTGTACACTGTCGTTGGACAAACCCAGTTTGGCGCCATTGCCCATCAAATTAACAACCCTGAAAATGCGGTGCCTGTAAGCAAATGAAGCATGTGGATTTAAGCGGATTTAACCATTGAAAATGGGATATTTACTGGGGCATCTACGAATTGTGAGGGTATTGCACCAGAAATGGGTGGCACTCCATCCCCACTTCGTGGTTTATCATTCTGCTTCCCACATGAGTTCCGCATCAAACATCAACCTCAGTGGTATTGGGGATCATCCATGGGAAAACCTGCCACACAAACTGTCGTCCATACGCGGCCTCGTCTGAAAACAGAGTCATTACGCCCAAGTTTGATGGTCAAAAAATGTTGAAAACCTCCTTTTTTTCGAAGAAAAGATGCCATTTTTGGCAGTTCCCCTATTTTTTGGACACCCCAACATCTCAACAGCACCCTGAACTGCCACTGCCTCGCCCCACGGCACCTCGGTGACGTTGCTGTGGCGACACCAGTGATCCACCCCCTCTGCCACCAGTTGCTGAAAACGATGAAAGCATTGCATCCGCGCCAGGCTGTGTTCACCCGCAGCGCACTCCTGGCTGTGTTCATGGACCTGATATGTCTGAAGCATGTCTGAAGCTATTCTCCGGGCCATAGTTTGATGATTTTCCCAGCCCTAAAACTTCATTCAGTTCGGGGATTTCCCAGCCAGCGTTTGAGTATGGCAAAAGATCCAAAGAATTGAAATACATCCAAGCTTGAGAATTATCTACGTTGTGATGTTAAGACAAAAAAAACATCCCCCGTTCACATTAGAGAACCCCCAGCAAGCATGGTTTAGTAGGGGATGAAATCACATCTTTGGGACCATACAATGGGAGGTGTTTTATATGAACGGGGAATATGATTACCTCTAAATGATCCAAAATCACTTAGTTTTGGAGAAGTGATCCAGACTTCCCTGAGTCCTCCGGTAGGGCATTGGGGTCCAATTCGACGAAGTGCTGCTTCTCACGCCGAGCCAACTCGTCAATAGCGGGTTGGATGTGGTCCAAATAGTGTGAGACCTGGGGGTTGAACGGGCAGTTGGTGACCGAAAATGGGTAGCCACCGCTGCAAATGTAAAATATAATATCATAATATCGTGTCACCATGCAAGTGGACCCACAATAAGCACAGACTGAGATGTTTACCATTGTAAATCTTGGTTGATTAAGGAGAATTTCCAATGGACACTGAAAAGGGAGGCCCCTTTTGTCACTGCGCTTGAATCTCAGTGGTGAATTTTGAGGGTGGCAGTTTCCAACTGTGCAGATCTTACTGAAAGTAACTAACTTAAGGCCTTTCTGAATAAAATCCAGGCCTTGGGTGATGATGTTTCTGAACGACCGGTGAGGCGTTCTGATCGATCCTGCTATGTCACTAGGCACTAATCATTTGAATCTGTTCAATGAAGAGAATCTTCAGAACAGTAAGCATTTTTTCGACAAGGTAAATTGCCGCAAGAGCAGGAATCACGCATCCTTTATCATAAGACCTGAATCCAGCAACATGAAGCCACAATCCATACCTGTTCGGCGTCCCAAGAATAGAATAGAGTACAATTCCTCTAGCCAGGCCCATCAAGGAAAACAAGAACCAGGCGGTGGACCACGCGTTGCACCATGTTTTGGTCTCACCTAAAATACTGAGTGTTGCACCGTTGCACCTAATCTCTATATATATACTTCAAGACGGCAATCAAAATCTATCAAGCTGACCAAGACACAGCCTACCAAGTCTTCAGCCAAGCAGCAAGCTTAGAGGCCGTTGCAGCGGGGTCGTTGGGCCCCGAAACACCCGCCATGATGCAGTGCTCAGCCAATCAAAGGTGGCAGAAGCCCCAAACGCCACAGTTTTTGCGGAGTTTGATGGTGAAAGGAATCGGGTGTTCAAAGGGGGTTGTCTGAACATTGTGATACCATCTGCGAAACCATCTTACTATGTACTAATGGAGAAAAGGATGATGAACCATAGGGTTAAATTATGTTAAATATTATTGTTAAATAATCTGTATCTACTGATTTTCAAACAAACCCAAATGTATTTGAAGGGAAACTATATTTCACCTGGATGTTTTTTTCATCCTGACTGCACTTGAACGGTTTCTTGGCTGTGCCATCACACTCTCACGTTCACCTTTCAATGGTTATGTCACGTCTGCCATGTTCTGCCTAAAAAGAGCCGTCGCTCTGAAGAAATCAGGAAGTGCGGACCAGTGGAAGCCTCCACCTGCAAAAGATGTTAGCAATACGGATAATTCCTCCGGGAAAGTATATATGTAGTGTATTCAAGAAATTTGAAACCGAAGCTCTGGATGACTTCAGTAGATAGGAGCAATAGTTCTGTGTCATCCTTCACCTAGTTTTATATAATTCAAAGAATATCAAGGTGAGTAGAGGTGCACGTAGAGTTGCCCACTTAAATCTTTTCGTCAGAAGACTTTCAAGACTTCCACCAGCAGCAAGGATGCCTCAGTCATCAAAGGCGGACAGTTGACATAGCTTCGAATAACATGGAGCAGGGCCCATCAGGCTGTGATTTGGTTTATCGCGATGGCGATAGTGAAGGTTATCGATAGTGAAGGTTATGGTTTGAAGATTTGTGTTTGGAAGCATCCACACAACCCTAACAAATTTTTGTCATATGGATTTCATAAAATTGTCACACAATCCTCAAGTTCAGCAAGGAATCAACAAGAACACATCCGGAAAAAAATGAGTTGCCTCTTCTATGTCGGAATGTTTAGGTTAGCCAATCATTCCTCGTATTCGAAGGCTCCTGACGGCCGGCCACTGGCCGATCTTGGAGGGAGAGAAGGTGGAGCAAAAATGAGGGCGAGGGGGGAAAGGCAAGGGCACGCAGTAGCTGTGCTGCAGCAGTTGGTGTCGTGTAGTGATTGTATGTGATTGTTGTGGTTGTTCCTGGATGTTGTTGTTGTTGTTATTGTTGTTGTTGTTGTTGTTGTCGTCGTTGTCGTTGTTGTTGTGGTTGTGGTTGTGGTCGTGGTCGTGGTCGTGGTTGTGGTTGTTGTTGTTGTTGTTGTCGTTGTCGTTGTTGTTGTGGTTGTGGTTGTGGTCGTGGTCGTGGTTGTTGTTGTTGTTGTTGCTGTTGTTGCTGCTGTTGTGGTTGTGGTTGTGGTTGTGGTTGTGGTTGTGGTTGTGGTTGTGGTTGTTTCTGGATGTTGTTGTTGTTGTTGTTGTTGTTGTTGTTGTGGTGGTGGTGGTGGTGGTGGTGGTGGTGGTCAGTTGATGTGGTTAGTTGATGTGGTCAGTTGATGTGGTAAGTTGATGTGGTAAGTTGATGTGGTAAGTTGATGTGGTAAGTTGATGTGGTCAGTTGATGTGGTCAGTTGATGTGGTCAGTTGATGTGGTCAGTTGATGTGGTCAGTTGATGCGGTCAGTTGATATGGTAAGTTGATGTGGTCAGTTGATGTGGTAAGTTGATGTGGTAAGTTGATGTGGTAAGTTGATGTGGTATGTTGATGTTGATGTGGTAAGTTGGTGTGGTAAGTTGATGTGGTAAGTTGATGTGGTAAGTTGATGTGGTAAGTTGATGTGGTAAGTTGATGTGGTAAGTTGATGTGGTAAGTTGATGTGGTCAGTTGATGTGGTCAGTTGATGTGGCAAGTTGATGTGGTAAGTTGATGTGGTAAGTTGATGTGGTAAGTTGATGTGGTAAGTTGATGTGGTAAGTTGCTGTGGTAAGTTGATGTGGTAAGTTGCTGTGGTTGTGCCTCTTGTGCCTCTTGTGCCTCTTGTGCCTCTTGTGGCTCTTGTGGCTCTTGTGGCTCTTGTGGCTCAAGGCAAAAAAAAGTCCAAAAACACAACGCGCAAAATAGTCTGTAAGGCACAGGGGGTCTAACTGGAGTAGGTCTGCAGTGGTTGGGTCAGCAGTCGTTTTCCTATCCCCTCACAAAGAGTGACGCCTACAGCGGGGCCATGGCCAGCGGCTGGAATTCTGGGGGTTGCAACCTTCGGCCAAGAGGCGACGCTGCCACAAAAGCTGCCAGCTTGTAGCACCATTCCAGCAATCCAGTAGAGCCGTGCGGCATTGGGAGCGTCCTGCGATGCCAGGTGAGACAAAGACGGGCTGCCGTATGCTGATTCATGCTTGCAAAAAACTACCCATCTAGGGGCTCCAATGGGCCAGAAAAGAAATACCGTATCAAGAACCGGACCGGCATTTAAGATGCGTCGGGTCCAAAAAAAGATGGGATGCGAAAACCCATCAGTTTCCGGGTCAAACCCTCGATTACCCTGGACTGGAAAATCGTATACAATACTTGAAAGTAATCGCTTAAAAACAAAAAACTTCTTTTACTTGTGAGCTTCAGCTGTTCCTACACACTTTGGCAGGTTCTCTCCCAGTGACCAGCAGAAATCGCCACTTGTCCTTCAAGACCAGAAAGGCCATGGTGCGCGCGTAGCCGAAGCAGGTCGCAAAGACAACGTTGGCCATGGGGACAACCTGGGGACGGATGGTGATGGTCCACTGAAAGGATCACCACATCTGGGGCAAAATCAGGCGGAATCACTTGCTCTCAAAACAGTCAGATCTTGAAGGCCCAAAAAAAAGTTGAAGTTGAAGCCACTCATAGCAGTGGCCACATCTCAACAAAACCAAATCCAACGGCAGGGCACCCAGCGTTGATCAAAGGTGGCCAACGCCTTTGGCCATTTGGCCAACAGCACCACCACCAGCGCAGCCAGGCTAAAGAGAGACGTCAAAACGTTGAGGTGCTTGGCGTCGCTTTGGGCTTGGCAGAGCCTATTTTTGGTTCCAAAAAAATGGTGGAGTTTATTGGATCCAAAAAAATGTCTTGTCAATGTCACAATGGGTATGTAAAATCCCTACTAATGGGTTGATTACCATCTCCCAATGTGGGAACAACAAGGCAACCGGTTGACTCGCCGCTCTTGTAAGGGTGACAAATTTGAAATTGAGCTTTTCGAGGCGACGAGACAAAATGCTGGTACTGTGGGCCGCATGCCAACAACAACCATGTTTTGACCATGGCACGCATCAATCGTATCAGTATATCATTGATGACTTTGAGAACTGTCACTTCGAGTCGATGATTTCGTGGCCCAAAAAAAAGATTCCACCTGCCCTGTTTTTCATTTGGGTTTAAGCTTGAAAAAGGGATACCCCAAAGGACTCGGACCAAAGGATTATAAATTATATATCACTTTTCCCATGAAAACTGCAATTCGGGGGTAACCCATTTTCAGATGCCCATTATAGGCCCCACTATATTTATCTACTACCCTAAACCCTAGCTATACATTTTATATTGAGGTATACAATATAGCAACCCCAAAAAAGATAAAGGTGGGAAACCGGGAAATATGAAGTAAAGATCATCGAATCATCGAACCAACATCCTGGAAACACTGTTCGGCATTCTTTGGGTGATTGCTACATATATCAGTATACTTGGATTTGCTTAAGGGGTCCCAAAAAACTAAGAAATATTCACTATAGATTCCCCAAATGGTGGGTTTCCATTGGGAAATAAAAAATCTCCTTCAACCCAGGTATATATTATTATAATTAACCAACTTTGCGATCCGTGGCACCTGAAGCTGGTGCACGCGGTCATGAGGCGGCTAATGGGATCAAAACCATAAATCACCGCATTGCTCCACAGCAAGACCTGGGCACGCCAAGAATATGCCATGAATTGGGTAAAGTGAATGATAAAAAAAACAAGTTTACCAGAGATATACATATACATAATTTCATCATATATATATATGTATATCAATCATATATATATATATGATTGATATACATATATATATATATACATCATATATATATACATCATATACATATATACATCATATATATATATGATGTGTATATATATATATTGTATGGAGGGTATCAACCATCCCAATTTGGGGTTGGCCCGTTGGGATTCCGGCTGTTTGAGAGTCTCTGTAGTGAGAACCTTGGACGCTGGGAAGAAGTCTCTGCCTTTCTAATGGCTACCCCAGGATCAGGAAACCATGGTTTATTGTGGGGGTACTCTCCAAATAGAGCTGATATAAGTGAGAATCTGATACTTAAATGGTACCGCGGGTTTTCGTAGGGTTGACATTATATAATGGGTAACATTGTCTTTGACGATGCGGCTGAGATGACTGTCAATCATTTCTGACCCAGAAACAAGATGCAACAGGTGAGAGGGCCAAATATCACGATCTTTCGAGCGGTGTTCATAGTGTCCCTCGGATCGTTTCTTATCTCTGCTAGTCACACGAACCATGTACACTGCGGGATTGTAATCTTAGTTGCTTCACACGCCAAGACAAACCCACAAAACTGATACAAAAATCCAAAGAAGGTTTGACCAGCAGACAACCATCCTCAATGATAAATTCAAATGATTTCAGGATGTGCCGTGCTCTTTTGTAAGGAAACCATTTTCATATATGTTTTTTTCTTGGGATTTCAGGTGATGACGGTGACCCTCAGCACACTTGCTGTTTCAGCAACATGCGATGGGGTTCAAGGATGGCAGAAGGCCGAAGTTCAAAGCGGCTCCCAGGAAAAGGGCCTTGGACGGTCACTGGGAAACATCACCCAGCCTCTGGTAAACTAACATAACAATGGAAAATCACCATTTTTAATGGGACAATCCACTATAAATGGTCAAGCTATCCGAAGGAAGTTTAGAAGTCAAACTTCCGACAATATGGGCAGATGAAAAGCAGAGTAGGGCAGAGGCAGAGAGAAGAGAAAGATTAGAAGAGAGAAGAGTAGAAGAGAAAGAGTCAGAAGAAAGAAGATGCAGATGCAAGAAAAGGTAGGAAAGTCGCGAAACACTGTGTTTTTCCACTGATTTGTGGCTCCGGAGGGTCGAAAAGTAGGCTCGCTAAAGCGGCGGGTGCGGAGCCAGCTGGCCAGATGAGAGATGAAAATTTGCACGCCGTTGTGGCGCGAAGCACATTTCCAAGTCAAAATGTACAAAACACACCATTCTCGGACCACTTTTGGAAGTTGAGATGTCGAAAAAGTGCACACTGTTGTGGCGCGAAACACATTTCCAAGTCAAAATGTACAAAGCACACCATTGTCGGACCACTTTTGGAAGTTGAGATATCGAAAAAGTGCACACCGTTGTGGCGCGAAGCACATTTCGAAGTCAAAATGTACAAAACACACCATTGTCGGACCACTTTTGGAAGTCTGCCATCCCTGATTCACAACAACCAACCTCTCCTATAGGTTTCCTATTTTTGAAACTTCCGCCACCGCCTTGTGCGGTACTACTTGTAATCGGAAACTAAAACCTGCTAATCGGAAACAAAAAGCCGTGAATCGGAAACCAAAGCATGTTAATCGGAAACTAAAACATACTAAAACCTGTTAATCGGAAACCACAAGATCGGAAACAAAAACCCGTGAATCGAAAACTAAGAACCCTGAATCGTAAACCAAAAACCCGGAATCGGCAACCACAGCTGAATCGTAAACTAAAGCAGGTGAATCGGAAACTAAAGCAGGTGAATCGGAAACTAAAACCGGAGAATCGGAAACTAAACCAGCTGAATCAATCAGAATGGGCAGCTTGTCTCCTTCAATCGGAAAGAGAAGTTGGAGGTAATATCCTGTTCAAAATAACGGCCAGAGGGGGTGAAGGAATTGATTTCTTATGAAGATAAGTTGAAGGTAATGTCTCATTCAAAATAATGGTCAGAGGGGGTGAAGGAATTGATTTCTTATGAAGATAAGTTGAAGGTAATGTCTCATTCAATAATGGCCAGAGGGGTTTGGCGAATTTGGTTGAAGGTAATATCCCATTCAACATAGTGATCAAAGGGGGTGGCGGAATTTGATATCTTACAAAAAGAAGTTGAAGTATATCTCATTTAAACATAATGGTAGAGGGCCTCTCGGTGCCGGATTATCCCTTTGTTGAGGATACTTTGAAGGTATACTCATTCAACCTAAGGGTCAGAGGGGGGTGCCGGATTTGGACTCCCTTGTGAGGAGGATACTTTGAAGGGTCCAATCTCATCAACATAATGGTCAGGGGGGTGCCGGATTGATCCTTGTGCGGATACTTTGAAGGTAATGTAATATCTCAGTCAACATAATGGTCAGGGGCCGGCGGGTGCCCGGATTTTGTGTCATTATAGGATACTTTGAAACGGTAATATCTCATTAAACATAATGGTCAGAGGGGGTGCCGGATTTGATCCCTTGTGAGGATACTTTGAAGGTAATATCTCATTAAACATAATGGTCAGAGGGGGTGCCGGATTTGATCCCTTGTGAGGATACTTTGAAGGTAATATCTCATTCAACATAATGGTCAGAGGGGGTGCCGGATTTGTGTCCCTTATGAGGATACTTTGAAGGTAATATCTCATTAAACATAATGGTCAGAGGGGGTGCCGGATTTGATCCCTTGTGAGGATACTTTGAAGGTAATATCTCATTCAACATAATGGTCAGAGGGGGTGCCGGATTTGTGTCCCTTATGAGGATACTTTGAAGGTAATATCTCATTCAACATAATGGTCAGAGGGGGTGCCGGATTTGATCCCTTTTGAGGATGCTTTGAAGGTAATATCTCATTCAACATCATGGTCAGAGGGGGTGCCGGATTTGATCCCATATGTGGATAAGTTGAAGGTAATTTCTCATTCAGCATAATGGCCAGAGGGGGTGGCGGATTTGATGTCTTATGAAGATAAGTTGAAGGTATATAATATCCTATGCAACATAGTGATCAGAGGGGGTGGCGGATTTGGTCCGGTATGGGGATATGTTGAAGGCAATATCTCATTCAACATAATGGCCAGAGGGGGTGGCGGATTTTATCCCTCACGAGGAAAAATACATAAATGCAACATCCTTTTCAACATTGTGTTCAGAGGGGGTGGCGGGTTTGGTTCAGATTCTTTTTTTTGGTTTCTGATTCGCGGGTTTTAGTTTCTGATTCTTTGTTGCTGATTCGCGGGCAGTTTCTGATTCGAGGTTTGTTCCACTATAAATGGCCATGTTCAATAGCTATGTTAAATTACGAGAGGGCAAATAAAACGTGAAGAGCAAGACTTTCAGGAAATTTTGAAAGTGTGCAATGGAAATTAGCCTGGGATACATATGGATACATTAATACAAGTCTATAGAAAAAATGGACATGTCACCGTGTCACAGTCCAAATGTCGCAATGATTCGGTGATTTTTGGAGAGGAGTTTCGGCCGATGATTGCTGGTTGATACCCTGCCAATCCTCACTCTATTTCCATGTGTATATTATCAATTTCATTCAATTTCTATCTTCCCAGTTTAGCAGTGGTGTTTTCTCAAATGGCCATTAGATATCATTAGATTAGATCTCAAAAAAAAAAAGATGTTGAAGTGTCCATCAAATGATGAACCAGGATGAACAAGGATGAACAAGGTCCCATATTTACCGATTTCCCAACAAACTCAACGGATTCCCCATGTCAAGGTCGGATGACCACGAAGCCGGCGTAGCCCGGAGAGACTCCTTGACCTTGACTCTGGGAGCTCAAGGTGAAACAAGCTGCTGAAACCCAACAAAACCGTCAAAAATGGGGAAAGAACCAACAAAATCCAACAAACAAGTTGCGATTTGACTGATTCAACATGATTCAACCATCACAAAGTTGGATTGGACTCAGAAGAATTGGGGATTTGGGGTGTCTTCGCCTGACAAAAGGGGCATTCATCCTATTTATACGCACTCGTTTTGGCCAAAGTCACTTGGCTGCTCCGTGACCCTACCTAGAAACCATCAAAACAGATATTTTCAATGAGGGCAATGGGAAAATGTACAAGAAAACCATATATTTCGGGGTAGAAAAGGATACAAGGTGTCATAATCTCGAGGTGGTTGATTAAGACTTACCCACCCTGCTTTCATCTGAGCAGATTTTGTTTTTTTTGGTACGTACTCACGCTTGCAGGAATGGCATATGAACAACATCTGATTCACTGCTGTGCTCAATATCTTCAAAATCACCGTTTACAAACTTAGATGCACCATTTTCCCAACTACATTGAGGATAAAAACAGCAGTGCATAGAAACCTCTAAACTTGCAGCATGCCGATAGCTCCAACAAAAACTGGATAGGCGATGGCAGAAGATAAGATCCACAGACTGCATGTTTGGTCATGATTCCCACAGCCAACCATATTAATCATATGGGTGTTTCCCAAAGTGAGGGATCCCCAAGTCCCCATGGCTTCAATACCAAAATATCTTATTCAATGTGGATGATTTGGGGTATCCCCATGACTTAGGAAACCATCGCATCTGAAACCCCTGGCAACCATCACTTCCTGATTTGCTCCAAGGGGCCGGCCGAAACGGAGCCCTGGGAGCCCTGGTCCTGCAGGGGGCCGGTTTGAAGAATGAAAGATCTGTGCAGGGGGCATAAGGGATTCCCTCATTACGACAATAGGAATATGTCAAAAGTAAGGTATGATGATGTATGATTTACCTCGAAAAATGGCTGGATGGCCCTCTGAAAATTGCCCTTTCATACCTTTTCATACCTTTTCATACCTTTTCCATCGGTTTTCCTTCAAAAACCAATCCCATCCCACGTCACATTAAAGAATTACCTCATCGCTGGGCTCCAAAACGAACAGATGCAAGACTAAACCAGTGTTTTGTGTAAGGGCATAGTTCAATTTATCTGAAAATCGGCTGCCCCAAACTTTGATAAACTAAAAATCATTCGCTTAATCATCCTTTTCTGATTGAAATTGCCATTTGGGTGGGACAAAAACCCGTTCTCAGACACACCCATTTGACCCATCGCAGGCAGGGCCAAGTCACGGCTGCCAGAGGTGACGATGGAGCATCATCTTCCAGCTTCGTGCTGCGCTGGCGATGGATGAACCTCGAATCTAACTCTCGGGTAATGTGAAGGTCACCAATTTTTAGATAATTTCATGATAAAAATCTTGGAAACCATGGTATTTATATGTTTGCCATCCCAAAATTGGAAGTGTTTTTTTCCCGGATACATCTGAAAAATCATGGTGTTTACATGCATTCGTTGAATTTGCCATATTTCAGTCGCAAAATCTACTGTTCATACTATCTCCCCATTTTTTCAGTCTTCTCCAGCCACTTGCGGGTGATCCCAGTTAGTGGGTGGTAACCATATTATATCCCAGTTCTATGTGGAATATGGGCTATAAACCGCGTCTACCTCCAAATGGCCATTTAAATAAAGAAAAGATGATAACCCAATAACCCACCCAATTTTGGGGGTTCCCAAAAAAACACATATAAGCTTAAGCTCCCTAGCCCGCTCAGTAAACCATTTAGACCCTTAAGGCCTTAAGGCCACTTAGGATTGCATACTATACCCCAGTTATTGTATGTGGAAGTCATTATCCCAAGTTATATATATATATATACATATATGGGCTATAAATTCTTATACCCTCCGGTAGTCAAACATGGCAATGGAAAATCCACATTTACTTCGATGATTTTCCAAGTTATAAATCTCCATTCAGTTCGGAGATTTCCCAGCTATCCACGTTTGATGACACCGGAGCGTAACCCTAATTATTGGCTATATATCCTATTATATACCCAATAGATCACCATTCACCATTCATGGTTAAGTTGTATCCCAGTAAGTATAAACATGGTTGATTACCAGATATAATACCTATTATATTACCAAATATATTGTTGATTAGGTCCTAGCTATGTATTATATATATATATATTATAATTTATAATATACTATTATATATATATATATGTTCTATCAGTTCCCATGAACTCTAAATCTTTTGCCACTGATTCCTGGGATGTCCCGAGACGGTCCCAGGCACATAAGCCCCAGCGCAGAAACGACACACAGCACCGCAGCCAGACCGAAGGCCATGGCGAAACTCTGCGGCGCGCCGCCAGCGTTCCTTCGCCGGCACCATAGGGAGATCGGTTTAGGATGAAAGCCATGGAAAAATGTGGATGGAACCACTGATAAATGGTGACTTACCCATGAAAAATCTGGAGTTTACCAGGTTACCAAGAAAAAATGAGATTTAATCACTGTTCGGATTGTCCAAGTTGACTACCTTTCATATACATCTTAGACGTCGCAATACGTCGAAAGCTAATTCTCGCCTCTCGTGCCTGTAGATGCCTGAAAGGCTTAAGAAAAGGATAATTTTAAAAAGTCCTTCCTTTGAGTTGTATAAGGCCATTTTAAGATTTTCCCCCATAATCCCAAGCGGCTTAAGCGCCATTTTTCATGACCTATCTAAAATACCCTGCATGAGAAGCGTCAGTGCTATCGAGATGTCCTTGGGGTGATGCGATGCTAATTTCAATCGCATGCGCCCGTTATTGATAGTCTTGACACTGTTCCTTGGTTTTTGCAGTCGCATATACTTCGCAGTAGAGGAATCCATCGAAGCTTGATCCCCATCCCATAGGTTTGATGGGTCAAAAACCGTTCAAAACCCATTCGAAACCAATAAAATGTAATTGTAAGCCCAACAATAAACGGTCCCCATTGGACAAGAAATGGGTGGTAACACCATGCTCCAACTGGAGGTTGATTATTTGGCTTACCAGATTGTAATCTGGGATTTCCACCAATTTACCCTCCAGTAATCAGCTCCATGGCTGGCTGGAAAATCACCCATTTACTTAGATGTTTTTCCCATTTAAATGCCAAGTTATAGTGGGTTTCCCAGCCAGCCATGTTTGTGTATCCCCATTGTTGGTTATATCCTATGATATGCCTTAAAGATATCCGTGTTTCTGTTGGCTAAATCACCACTAAATCCCCGATTGTTTGTTGGTCAAACCACCCAAAGTCTTATTGTTGGCTCTAAAATCCCATGATATCCCAATTATATCATATTTATGTACATACTCTTACATATATATATATATCTTTATATATGTATATACTTAAAAATGTATATATTTATATATGTATATATTTATATATGTATATATTTACATGTGTATATCTTTATATATGTATATATTTATATATTGTATATATTTATATATTGTATATATTTAGATAATGTATGTATGTTTATATGTATATATATATATACTGTATATAATATCATCATTTTTCCAAGTAAAATCACCAACAAATCGATTTTCCATGGACTTTCCGCTCGTACCAAGGCTCTGCAGCATGCCCAGCACCCCCGCAATGGAGCCACTCAAGCCTTCCCCGATCGCCAGGGCAGTGGTGTAGCGCCTATGGCTGAGATTTTCCATGAGCAAAAAGCTGAAAAGCACCTGGGCACTGTCAACAAATCATGGAAACTGACCAAAAAAACCTGCAGATGCCCCAAAAATCCCCAAAACAACTTCACAAAATCCAAAGAACCTCTTAGTGCAGTAAATTTTAGTATTTCTGGCTAGGAAGTCCACCACCTGTGCATGATGTGTCACTCTACCAATTCTGGAGTGGATGGAACCCTCTGGCAATCAAACATTGCCAAGGGTGCAATGTTTTCTGCAGACATGCGGATGATTTACCTGTAAAGATATGGCTAATTCCTTGGATTCTTCCATTCTGCCTATCAACTTACCTTGGACCATTCCCACTGCCCTGCCGCCTTGGGAAATGGGCTGCCAAAGGATAGAAAACCAAAGAACTGCCGCAACTCGCGACACCTCAACCGAGGGGTGACCATGCTCCCGACCATGGTTGGTCACATATGGTACATCTATACCTTTATACCTTTAGTATTCACCAGCACATCTGGAAGGAAAGCCTGGTTCTTGACAACTATCTCAATCGGGCCGATACCAGCTGGGCCGATGGTCACTTTTTGCTAGGCCCCTCAGGATCTGGAGGTGATCGTTTTAGTGTTCAACTCTCGTTTTTCAGGGTACCCCAACTTTAGCCCTAAATCCAGCCGGACAATAATGGAGTTTCATTCCACCAAAAAAATCTGCTGATCGCAAAAGTCAGCTTGGCGTGTTTCTTCTTGGTTGTGCCAAAAAAAACAAAACATCCTACTCTCCAATTTTCGTCATCGGTTCCTTTCTGATCATCAGGAACACAGAAAGTGTTCCTAAAAGTTGTCTGTCTGACCATCAAACGTCAAAAAAAATGGCAAACACACGTGAGTTTGGACATTTCCATGTTTGGAAGCAACACTGACCGCTGCTTCATCCAGCTGCATCACCAAGCGAGCAACTCTGCACCCCACATCATCCATTACCCCAATACTCAATCCAGTTTGTCTGACCCTATATTAATGTCTCATTTAGAGCCCCAACTTTGCTGAATCTTCGCAATGTTTCGACCCCACGTTGTTCGTGCTTTTCACCATCAACTATGGCCTACTCTGTAGGCCTAGTCTCTATTTTTGGGAAGTAGTAGAATCCCCAAGTGCAGTTTTTGTTAACATCCCCCAAGGTTTCATGGTTAAACGCTTGAGCCCCTATCATTTTACAAGAGAACACCGGCACCAGGGGTGCTGCTCAACTTCTGCCTGCCACGAAGGTCATGGCCAAAAGTCCCGCGGAACGTTCAGTGCCTTGCGGAGCGGAATCTTGGCAGGACTGGGGTCATGTGGGAAATTGTGCTGATGACATCTGATGACATCTGATGACTATGGTATCATTATGGGCTTACTATGGATAACTATAGTTGTCACCATCTCCAGTCGGGCCAGTTGGGTTGCTTTTATGATGACCCAGTTGAAATAACCACTAGAAGTTGGGCATATGACCTGACTATGGCCAAAGTCTCCACTTATTTCAGTGTAACTGCAATTCCAAGTAGGATTCCAACCACGGTTTTCTACAAAGTTCAACATCTTTGTGGATCAAAACACTATATGTTTCTATATGATTTCTATTGGTTCAATCTTGAGTCAACTGCTGACTCCAGGTGGGGACCTGTAGAATCCCAGTAGTCAGATCTAGATGTGCCATCATCCATCGCTTGGTTTCAAACGATCAGCATTTCCTCTCAACTAATGTGGTTTTCAGGCAAAAAGACATGTTTTCTCGGTATAGATTATAATATTCGCCAACTGGTAAAAGTTGGCAAATATGTAGATTAGCTATGGTTTGTTCTGAGGGTTCTCACATTCATAAACAACCAGCAAAAACCGACATTCATGCATCAACTCTCACTGGAATTGCATAAGGGGCCCAGGGAAAAGTAGCAACGATCCTCCCAATGGGTTCCACAAATAGTGGATTGACCAATGGAATAATCAAAGAAGTAATCTTCAGCAAACCCCTCATATAACTGGAACTATGATTCCCATATATACCAATGTTAAATGGCAATAAAAGCAATAAACGCTTAGCGGCAATCCTCATGCAAACAAGTTATACGGATAACGATTTCTTTCTAATGAAAGTTCAAATGGATACAAACAGTTGTATGTCCAGTTTTTTTTAATATACTGTGTACGTGTATATATATATATATATTGTACCCATATGACCAATTGTTTATTTATATCATCTGGCAATTTAGCATAGCTATGGAAGCCACGGACCATTTCGTGAACGATGATTTTCCAGGTTTCCAGGCCGAAAAGCCATGCGGTGCTTCGGTAGACGCCGGCGGCCAACGCGACACAGGCACCTGGAAACGCTGTGACGACCCGTGACCCTCCGGTGGGACACGGAGGAGGAGTTTTGGGGTGCAAAACATGGGGATTTGAGGAGGAACCAATTGGAGAAGAATACAGGATATCATAGGAATAGGAATAGGATGATAAATCCTTAAAAATATTTGGATTTGGTTGGAATTTCTAACTACTGAACTGAACAATATGATATGATGGGTTCTAGATATTTGAGACAATATAAGCAGCAAAAAACATTGGATGAAACATAATTAAAACAATATATATATATATACATATCATCAGGATTGTTGGGGTTGTCCAACAATGAGGATGCTCAGTTGATATGATCAACGAAAAGAGGGCTCTATGTAAGTGTTCAAATTTTGTCCAAACAGGTGGATGCCCCAACAGATTTGCAATGTTTTACGGGGAAAAATGATGTTTGAAACGATGGGATGGAATGAGATATCTAGTTTTCGAACTATTTCATCAATTTCCAAGTGTCCGATACTACTTGTCCGGAGAAAATGGAAAAATGCCTGATTTGCCCAGCTAGAAACCTCCATTTATGGGGAGTGTCCAATTGCCATGTTTGATTACCGGAGGGTAGTCCACACAAATCAACTTGATATACCATATTAAAGGTTCGGGTATTGGTTATATATAAAATAGATCCATTATATACCATATATATATACAATTTAATGGAAAAAACCATTGATTAATTGAAACCATCGATTAAACCATTATATATAAACCATTAATATATAATGTTCCATGAATCATTATATAAACCATGCATTACTGGAAAATGGCCCCTCCTTTCACCCCCCTGCACCGAAGCCCAACAGCAGCAGCATGCTGCTCAGCAGAGCCCAAGCTGGCGCAGGGCGCTTCACCAAGGGTCGCCTTGGGCCAGCTGATGTTGCGGGAAATCATGGGATAACCCCGCACAATTTATTCTCATATAATCCCAGAACTATTAGGTAACTATGAGAATCATCTGGGAAATTCATGTGTAATTAATGTTATTAGATGTTATTAATGTGGGAAATGTTATAACATGTTATAACCACACATTATTTATGTTATTTAAAAAAAAAAAAAACATCCCATAATTATGGAAATATGATCCACAACTGGGATTCTCATTGGATTTTTCGGATAGCAAAGCCATCTCCATCTGGGGTAAAACATGGTAAAACCCTGTTGAAATCACCACAAGTTGGGAGATAACCCCCGTAATGTCACAAGTTATAGCTACAACCCGCTTAAGTGGAACTGCACCCCGTTTTGCTTGCTTTTTGTAGTCTTCAAATCACGCCCAGTTGGTGGTTTCGATTCAGAAAATTGATGGAATTCATAACAGATATCATGATGTCCTGGGGATATTCACCAACAGGAAGCGATGGTGTCAAGCATTCTTGGTGGATTCAATTCCTCTCAAAATACTGGTCATTGGGCATGATGCTCCCTTTTTCGGGGCTGAAAACAAAAGAAGTTGGAACCCCTAACCAAACTGGATATAGAAACTAGGAACACATTTTGGTTTTGACCAACATCAATGGCAGAATGATGCCAGTACAGTATAGTCGGTCCCATCAGAGATGTAGTGAGTGACCCTGGTTCTTGCCTAGCAAGAAGTGGCCGCCCAAATGGGGAACTCACTCAATGGGGCTACGGGCTACTCTACCTTTGCTGAATCTTTCTCCAAGCCAAACCACGGGTGACAGTGTCCATGAATAAGCGCCTATAGACAATGGCCAGTGGCCACAGACATGCGTATCCCAAAACATGAATGCAAATGTCGAAGAGCAAGTAACTATTTGAAAAGATTGGAAGGGACAGACTGAACACTCTGGAAGCTAAGGCCGCTATCTTTTCCTGCGCTATCCAAAAGTAGTGAGATTAAGCTAGAGCCGCTGTAGATGCTAATATGGGACATTGTTATTAAATAACAATGGGTATAAACAGGATGGCTGCCTGGATGACTGCCTGGATGACTGGATGGCTGCCTGGATGACTTGAGCCAAAATTGGCATAAGTCATCCAGCAGTCCAACCCATCTTTTCAAATCACATATAGACCCTACCCAACCAACCTACTCATATGTTAGAGTAATAAACATCATCAAAACCGGGGCTCTATGTTGCTTCTTGAGCTTCCCCTGTGATCTTCGAAGTTGCACGGTGAATCAAATGAATAATAATTCTCCAACAGCAGAACATGTGCTGAATGAGCTGCTTCCTCTAGCCCTCAAAGCCCAAAGTCAGTGGGTCTATGTTTCCGAGAACTTCGGATGACTGAAAGGGCCCCATGGGGCCCCATCCCGTTCGCTACTCCAAGTAGCAAGACCAGCATTACGCAGAAGTTGGCCAACTGTAGAGCCACCACGATCCTGCCGCGGTTTCTAAGGCGTTTCGGGGCCTTGGCCACCCAAGACCTGCACATCATGTTTCAACTCCTTAACTTCCAAGAAAACCAGATATCCAAATGATCCAAATGGATAGTTCACCCAATGAATATCATAAAAACTCTGGATTCATAGCAAAACCCCATTCAAAATCATAGTTGTTTCACAACAAACAGACTCTCCAACCCCAACCCAAAAAGGACATGGATTTCCCCATCGCCACCGATCCCCAACACTCCAGGTGGTCAAGGCCCAATGCTCGGGCAGGTGATACACCAAGAAGGAGGACTGCACGAAGATCTCGGTCCGCTGGTCATGGAAAATCCAGATGTTTTAATATATATCCCGATATGTTTGATGGTGAAATACCAATTAAAACCTATTAACCATAATAATAAGCAACTAAGCAACCAACATTTACCAGTTATAGCCACTCATAGCCCATGTTGTGATGGTTAAAACCTCTAATGTGGTAAACCCAATGATAAACCATTCCCAACTGTACCATAAATGGGTATTATTCATCTAAATTATCTACAATCATCCTCATCTAGATAGAATATGATATGTTCAATGAGATTCCGATTTTTGTGGGGATGTTTGAAATATCTATCTTTTATCTACTCCAGAATGACATAGAATGAATATATGTATGTTTGTTTGTTTGATTGGTTGTTTGTTTGTTTGATTGTTTGTTTGTTTGTTTGATTGATTGATTGATTTTTTGTGTGTTTGCTTGTTTGCTTGTTTGTTTGTTTGTATGTTTGCTTGCTTGTTTGTCGTATATGTGTATGTATATTTGTATGGTTGTATGGTTGTATGGTTGTATGGTTGTATGTTTGTCTGTCTGTCTGTCTGTCTGTCTGTCTGTATGTCTGTATGTCTGTATGTCTGTATGTCTGTATGTCTGTATGTCTGTATGTCTGTATGTCTGTATGTCTGTATGTATGTATGTATGTATGTATGTATGTTTGTATGTTTGTATGTTTGTATGTTTGTATGTTTGTATGTTTGTATGTTTGTATGTTTGTATGTTTGTATGCATGCATGTATGCATGGATGTTTGTATGCATGCATGTATGCATGGATGTATGTTTGTATGTTTGTATGTTTGTATGTTTGTATGTTTGTATGCATGCATGTATGCATGGATGTATGCATGTATGCATGTATGCAGGTATGCATGTATGCATGTATCCTGGCAAGGCAAAATCACCATGTTTGTTTTCAAAGGAAGATCGCGTCTGTGAATATCCGTGGAGAGGCTTGTGGCGATTTTCCATTGCCGCACACCCGTGTGCTGAATGGGATATCTCCACGCAACTCTGCCGGGGAGATGCCATGCAATGGTGTCTAAGTGAGTACAAATATGATACCCTCTGGTACTTTCACAGTTTGCTATGGACAATCACCATGCGAACGGCAACTCATCACGGAAGAAATGGCACTTCCCTTGACAAATCGACCTGGGGTTCCATTTGTTTTGCCGGGTAGACATGGAAACCGGTGTCGGAAAATGATCTGATCGCCACTGGGCAGGTCCCACGCTATTGATGGAGATCCAGCTGCCGAGGCCAAAGGTGATGAAGGCGGCCTCAGGGGAACCAGTTTTTTTTCCAATGGAATTGTCCAAAAAAAAAAACGTAGGAAAGGCAGGAGCATATGATGGTTGAACCATCAACAGTGCATTTTTTTCAGCCTTGTAAGCCTTAGACTGAGCATCTCTTGTTGTTTCAAAAAAATGTGACAAGAACTGAGGAAAACGAAATCCACAGGAATTTCACCATCAGGGGGTTCTGACGCCCTGAGGATGCACAATATTGGTTGGTCATTTGTTTCAACTTTTCTTTTTGGGTATGTCATGTTAGTTAAAGTAATGATGAACCACTCATATGTTGATGCTTTGTACCACCCATAAAAATTGTAAAATTGGGGTGGCTTCCCCAATTTTGATCCATACCAATACCTCCATTCGTAGACACAAAATGGTGCAAACATTTGTCTAGTGGAAGTAAAATTGCAGAGACACGGTTGCAAAATCCATCCTGTTTGACGGTCAATGTTCGGATTACGAAACTCAGCAGTATAGCGGTTTCAAGTAGTTCCCCCAATGGACAATCCATGAATTTCTCACGGGAAAAAAATATTTTTCCATTGCCACCTTTGATTGGCAGATGGTAATGGTTAATAGTCGACATGGCGATCAAAACCCTACGCTGGTCTTCACAGATTTTTTTTTCGCTGGTTGTTGTGGATGGTCAAGTCCTGGATTGATGTTTGCAACTATGAGGGTACAAGTCCAGAGTCAACTTAGTCAACGCAGTCATTTCTGGAACGTGAACAAACAGACGAATCAATCCTAGCGGTCAATTAAGAGCGTTACCTAAAAGAATAGTTATTGCCTCTACTGCCTGTCAAAGGGGTCATATTCCCAAACAGGCACCGAAAGAACATTGGTCACTAAGTGATATTGTCATATATCGTGAGTTGGGAATCTCCCCATATTTGCCGTTGAATAGTTCCTTTGCTTGTTGCTTACAGTATATCCTGATGTTTCCCAATATTCTTGACTATATCCCCATAGCACTCCATCATTCTTACTTCATGTTACTTGTATCCCCAATCTTCATGGGTAACATGCCTAGCACCCCCAGTTCTATGGCTTCTACTTGGAGTTTCATCCCAGTTAGTCAGTGGTTGAGAACCCTCATGTAACAAGTCTCCTAGTGAGGGTTATATATATATATCCCATTCACAAGCGAGCCAGCACTATCCGCATCCCATGCCATTATTTAAAAAAAACTGGTTGGTAAATAGGTGTTGCCTGCTTTTGGATGTTTACAATCTCCAATAAACATCAACAGTCAACATGATAAACTGCTTAGTATAACCCCTTTTTTTGTTTACCCCCTTTTTGTTTAGCAATCAACAGTGGTATATGTCCACCCGCTTGGAGTTACCAGACCCCAGGGTCGCCGACATAAGTTGCCCTGGTGCTCGCCGCTCGCCGCGGCTGCGGGGCACTGTCCATGCACAGGGCCGCCGACATCGAAGGGGGCAAAGTTGCTGGAGACTTGCAGTTGTTTGGAGCTGTCAATATCACATGGGTCATGGTCATTGTCAAGTGTCAAATCTATCCATTCCCCTTGGACCCGTTGGACCCACGGATTGGCTTTGTTGAAGCTTGCGGAGGTTAACCACGAATGAGCCACACGTTGTTGAAGTAAAGGGGTACGCACCCGGTTTTCATAGCAGGGTAGTTCCGGGCTGTGTGGAGTTCACAAATGCCATGTGCAAAACATGGGGAGATTACCTAAGTGAAAACGCAGAAGGCTGCGACACTGCCATTGCCATGTCGGCTTTAATGTTGCTTTTTGGACGATGTCATGACGTGGATTGACATTTACTTTCATTATCTTTCATTATTTACAGCAATATCTAACTTCGAGCTGCGATTTGGTGGCCATTTTTGGACTTGTGCAGCTGGAGGATGGGAGTTGGTTCATGTTGGTTCAATTGGCTCCACCGATCTTGATCAATTGGGGTTGCATTTAATTTTGTGTGCATGAAAATAAAAATCCTGAAAACAACACCCTAAACCCAACAATATACAGAGTTTAGATGGGTATGGTAAACCTATGTAAACCTCAACTTACGAGTCAATTCGTAATGACTGCTCAATGCCTCATTGGGGGGTCACCTTTCCACAGGGCAAAAATGGAGTGAAAAATGGAGTGAAAACTTGCACTGAATTCGCCAACTCTGGATGTTTAGCTCAAAATGACAAGGATGATGCTTACCATTTCTTACCTATAGGCACGATCGAGGTTGCCCAATCTTGCACCATGGCATGGCCATGTGGAAATCCTGGTGGTTTTGGCTGGAAATTCTGGTCGGGAATGGGAGTTTAACACCGGTCAACCATTGTGTCGATAGAGCAACCCCAAAAAAAAACACTAAAATACATGTTATATATACTATATATATAGTATTATTATTGTTATTATATACTATATATATATATACAGTATATACTTTTCTATCCTTTGGGGGGTTAATTTGCATGATCTCATTTTCCGTGATTGACCCTGGATCAAGAGGTTATTGTTCATGGCTCAGACAGATGAACTCCTCTGGTACTCTAAAATAGCCATGGAAAATCACCTGTTTAGTTAAATCATCTACAAATGGGTAACTTGCCCATGTCTGTATTTGGGTTTGTCTGAAATAGGATAACCCCCAAAATGCCAGGGTTAATATTGCGTCCCTGTTAACATTGTGATTTGGAGGGTATAGCACATTTTCAGACAAGCCCGTTTATGACCAGAGGGTAGCACCTCTGTTTGGTGTCGTTATCTCGGCAGTGGCGCCCTTTCTCTCAAACTGCGCTGGTTCTTCGATGTCTGGCTCTGCTCAGTCCTGGGGGAGCAGTGCCATGGAACGAAGTGACTGGGATTGTCCCTCAGGAATTTCCCGTCCCACATGTCCTGGATGACACCGTGGGAGCTGACGTAGATACCATCCAAGAACTTTCGGATATCCTTCTTCTTGCACAAGCATGACCTCGTGGTGCCATATCAGTGATGAGTGACTACACATTCTGAAAGATAGGATCACCTGGCAGGATATCCTTGAGGAGTTTCATAATCTTTGGGATATCTCTGGAGAAGAACTTCTGCCAACTACTGACGTCAGCTTCATGTGACACTGGAGATAGACACTGCTTTCAGCGAAGCCATGATTGTTATTCCGTTTTCCATTCCAAACTCATCCTTTCATATCCTTTCCAGGTTTTCTTCCATCAACATCCCTGATGTGGTGAACCCACTATTTTATTAAACCTACCCTTTGGGGTGGGTACTTTCTTACCACTCTTTTTTTTGCATCAGGGATTACCACATTGTTATTGAATTGGATTTACCACATTGCCAACGAACTGAGGACACCTGATGTCCAAAACCTGATGTCAGGTCTAGAAAATTAGCTCCCAAAGATGTCACCGGATGTCCGAAAAAACCTGATGACTGAATGTCCAAAACCGATGTTTTTTTCTGGATCATAGAAATCAGCCCACAAACGGAGGTGTCCTAAAATAGGATACCCATGGATACCCCAAAATCATCAACAGTTAGACCATGAATTCGGTTTCACTGTTTCACCGTTTCACCCATGGTGACGACTGGGGATCCCCCAGTTTGTCGAACACCAGTTTTCATCGGTCAAGAAGCTGGTGAATCAAGGCGGCAGATCGCCCCGCCAGCTCGATGTCGGCGCTGGTCACCACAATCTCGTCCTGGTTTCACTGCTTTCACCCAGAAAAATGGGGATTTCACCAGGAAAAAAACTGGATTTAAGGGGAAAACATGGGATTTGCCTAGGAAAATTGGCGAGACCCCCTCTGGTCATTGCACATAGCTAGTATGGAGAATCACCATGATTTGATGGGGAAATCATCGAGAAATCATTCATCAACTTGAATGGGCCATGAAGCCAGGGCTATTATCATTCGAGTGAGGTCGCGACGTGAGGTGATGAAATTCATCCAGATGAATTCTAGTTGATATCCCATTTTACCACCGTTTGTTTCCGGCCTTTAAAAACCTCTTATCAGACTTATCATTCACATACCTCAGATATCCTCAGATTGGCATCGAACGGCAGTTTCTATGGCACCCCCCGGCCTTGGTGGAGCTGCTCTTGTCCACCGTGGCACCGGGCAACATGTGCACCTCAGCTCGGCGAGGCGGTAGCGCTTCTTGCCGGCAAAACACTGATTTCACGGAGAAAAGCCATGAAATTCGTGGGATTTCGTGGAGAAAAGAGATGGAAAGATATGGAAAAATTGTGTAAACTTGTGGAGTTCAGCCATTCAAAATGGGGAAATTAAGCGAAAACAAATGACTTCGGTAGGATCATCAGCCTGCAGCTTCCCAGGCACTGCAGCTAAGACACAGTTCGCACCACCTTCTCACCCAAGAAGTTACGAATCTCAATCGTCTGGCGCGAGGCCATGCTGGCGGGGATGGGTTTGTCTCAAGTAGGGTACTCCCAAATCCACTGGAGGAGGATCAGTTTCCGTATAAAAATGTGATGTTTGGCTGCCATACCATGTTTTCAGAGACCCGTATAGTGTCATACAAACCTCACTGGGGCCCCACCTTGCCACCGTTGATGATGTTGACGTTGATGGGAAAGTGCGCATAGACCAGGCGCATCTTGTACTCGAACTTCTTGGTCACGCCCTGTCAAGTTCAGTCACAGCGGGGCAGCACTGCACAGGAATGGCGAATGGGCTCCTGGGTGTGATGTTTGGCTTTACAAAAGGAAGCTTGCAGGGAGCAAAGTGGTACCTTTTCTGCTTTCCACTTTAAGGATGGGAAACATGTTGGCAATTCCCTTCCAGCTTCGAAAAGGCCAAGTGGACATTTAGGCATGCTGTGGTCCTGAGATTGGGTAGCCCTTATTGAATATGTTTGGTCTACCCATTATGTTGCTTCTACCACCACTGATCTGCCAAACGCACGGAGAGTTACCGGGAGCGTGATCTCCAACATCCACGATTTCAATGGTTTCAATGGCACCTTGATCCCCAGCAAACCTCCAACCAACACCCATCATGTTTGACATGGCGTGCTCGCCCTCACCATGGAAAATCTCCATGGTTTTTTGTCCCAACTGACAGCTGTTTTTATCCCAACCATCCAACTCCGCAAATCCTCAAACAAATTGGAGATGTGGCTGCAAACCTCAGTTTTGCAGTGCCACAAATTGTTCCCATTCAGTGCTGGGTCGGTCAAGGGTTTCCCAAGCCACACGAAAAAACTCTGATCATCTCCCTCTGCCCGTAATTTTGTGGGAGGGTCCCAACATGTCCCAACCATTTCGTTATGTGATTGCTGATCTGGATCATTTGTGTTGAAGCAGATAGAAAGAAAGAAAGAAAGAAAGATAGATAGATAGGTAGATAGATAGGTAGATAGATAGATAGATAGGTAGATAGATAGGTAGATAGATAGGTAGATAGATAGATAGACAGATAGACAGGTAGATGGATAGATCGATATATTCATCGATAGATCGATAGATCAATCGATCGATAGATCAATAGATCGATCGATCGATAGATAGGATAGATAGGATAGATAGGATAGATAGGATAGATAGGATAGATAGGATAGATAGGATAGATAGGATAGATAGGATAGATAGGATAGATAGGATAGATAGGATAGATAGGATAGATAGGATAGGATGCGATGAGATAGGATTAGATTAGATTAGATTAGATTAGATTAGATTAGATGGATGGATAGATAGATAGATTAGATATGTAGACCAAAGGCGATATCTTTGTCCGTATAATATATATATATATCAAAGCCCTAATTTCCCATCATGGGGTGCGGTTGTTGATTCTTTCATGCCTTGATCCCTTCTGTTCTACCCAGCTTCTGGGGCGGATGTGGGAAAGCCTCACTTGATGCCCAGTGACGGTGTTCAGCATGGAGCACTGCTTGCTCTTGGCGAAGTACATCCTTGCCACCACCTCCAGCTGCTGTCCAATTTCGCAGTGATGAAATCAACGAATATTGAAACAGTAGATAGATTGAATCAGAATTATATGGATGTATATGGTGTATCACCTCTAATTGCTGACTTGCAGACAAATACAAACAGCAAAACTACAGTCTCTCTGCGGTAGCTGACAACCCCACTATCTGGTTCTAGCTGGAAGGGTGAGTCATTCAGGGCTTCAAGGTGAATCCCAGTAAACTATTCTGATAAACTTGGAACTATTCTTGGAACAATTTGACCTACTGACCATCTTTTTATTTCACTTCCAAGGCCAAGGTCGCTATAATTCACCCAGATCGGGTATGGGTCGAAATTCTTGGCCAAAAAACTTGATGGTCTACTAAGAAAGCCCAACTTGGCCACACTGGGCACTGTGCACTGGCTCTAGATTTCTTGCCTTTGTCCCGCATCCCCAGTGCTTAGTTCCCCAACTAACCCAGCAGCTCAGGTCATAACTCTTCCCCTGCGCCTTCTTGCCGCCGTCGGACAAGAACAGCTCGATGGGCAGGTGCTTGAAATCGCGCTTCAGGCTTCCGTGCTTGCCGGTCACCTGGCAAAACACGAAAAGTCCTGGCCCAAGATGGGGATACTTTGATATGATTCACCATCCACGTAACGTTTTTTGGTAATTGACTCCACGTACCAAAAAAAACGGAGAAGTTCATCAACGACGAACTAAAACTCAATGTCTTGTGGTGGGTATTGGCTTATTCCTATGGGCTGGTTCAATGAGATGCAAGCGACAGCAAGTGTTTCAACTACAAATGATGTTTGGTTGGGTAGGGTATCAAGTCTTTGCCCTTTCGAACAGTGCTGAAAGTTGGGACCTCAAAACAGAGCTAAACGATATAAGAACCTGGACAAAACACAACAGTTCAAAAGCCTCAAAAATATTGGATAATTTCCCTTGCCTTACTATGCCCCACTTATGATGCGATCATTACAAGTGACTCTACAATCAAAACAGCTAAATTTTCAGGGTCAATGCTAGCCAGGGCTCACACCCCGAAAGCCCAAGGACACCTCCACGATCTTGGACTTCACGGTGATCTTGCAGCCTTACTGATAATCATGAAACTAAGCATAATCATGATAATAAGCCATGACGATAATGATGATAACAAGAAGAAGGATGAGAATAAGAATATATATATATATATACCTAGACGACCATTTGTCATGGAAAAAAGAACTACGAGTTGAAAACCTGACGATCTATGAAATTCAGATACGGTTCCCCAAAAAGTTGACAACCACCAAAAAAGTTGACGATTTATTGTCACATCACCACATTCCAATCCAATCCAATCCAATCCAACCCAATCCAATCCCTTCTCCACTGCTCCGACCCACAGCCAGCGATACGTTTGTTGCACATCGGCAACCAGCTCTTTTGGAGGTCCGGGCTCCAAGCTTTGCCAGGGAAAGAGGTGAGGCCCTGAAGAACCATTAGTTGTGAACTAGGAATGCCTTTTTTTTCTCCAAATTATTCAACATCAAAAAATTCAATCAGCTCCCAGGGGCCTCCCCTTTGTAGGCATCCCCAAACATTGAAATCCACTGCCTTCGGTAAAGCCCCAAGCAACGGTCTATGGTTCGGGTGGCACAAGTTACTGGGTGACACCGTCGTGAAACACGACTTACACGTCCAATGAAGTCTTCGTCGCTCCATGTCATATGAACACATGGATTGAGTAGGAATTCCACCTGCTCATCTTCAAGTTGAATCATCAAGTCTCGCCTTAGTTAAATTTGCATATGCCACCATCATTGCAGCCACAAACCGGTGTTATCTAATTAACACATATCAAGATATAAACATCATTGTGAATCATTGTTGCTTGTTGCATCTTGTTGCTATCATTTTCAGCTGGGCTACACTATGTGGCCAAGCATGTGGAATTTTGGTCTGATCTGGAAGCCATAGAACCCCTTTCTCGAAGATAGGGTTGCCAATGCTCCGTATCCATCCTTATCACTCAGAAGCGTTGGATAAAGAAAGAAATTCCCAATATTCCCAAGGGTACTCATATTGAAATCGGGGCCAAACAAAATTTGTTGCATGGAGAAGCTAAGTGTCAGTCATTTGCCATCCATCATTCACAAGTTTGGTGCCCACTTTCCTTGGAATCCAAACACCATACCTGTAAAGAGTCCGCCAGAACCGGTCACTTGCAGATGCCGTGTATCGGATGACAGATAGGATGTCCTTGAAGTCGTCATCCTAAGGGGACACTTTGGAAATGTTGAACACAAAATCTTAGGCCCCAAAGGTTTGAAAAAAGGTACACCATCCTACACAACTAAAAATGTATTCTGATAGTGCTTGCAAAAAACTGCTGAGTCCAGGTTGATTATGTTCACTTCTTGGACCAACCAAGCTCCCACCACTGCTGCATCATAGCCCTTTCCCAATCCTCGCGGGTATTTGTTGAGCCTCGTTGGATTTAAAGAGATGGAAGTATGCTTGGAAATTCTTAAATTCACGGGGTGATCTTTACCCAACGTAATCTATATTTTTTGAAAGGGTTGAAATCCCAAATCCGGAAAATATTGTAAGAGGTGACTAGGCGCGTGTTTTGTGGGAGCTTGAAGGTGTTGTACCCAAATTCTGTGATGCTGGTGTTCTTATTGTACGCGTTGCAGTATGCCAAGAAGCTTGCATATGCGTTTTGGAAACAGTGAGGGACACTTCCATTCCCAAAGTGCCCTGCCCTGATCATCATTATGATACAGCTGGCCAAGAAATCTTTGCCCACCCCATCGATAGCAAAAGTATGGGCAGGATCAATCCTGATGTACTTTGTAGCATCACCAGTGGGTAAGTCTCGGAGGGGGCTCCGGGTACCAACCTTGAAAGCTGCAGGGTTGGTAGCATCACCTGGCAAGGTCTTCAATGTGTCCTTCACGTTCCACCATTCCTTGGAAGAAGCGGAGAGGAGCTGCCAAGTGGTGTGGCCATTGTTTGGGGGATTGTGTGCTCTAGCCATTTTTTTGGAATTCAAAATTTGTTAAATTGAAATCCCAGAGTGTCTCTGATGTCACACCTGTGGCATTTGTCTGTGCAGTTAAATCCACATGCTAAGGAAAATCCTGCACGTAGCCATGGCCAATCTCCTTTGCAGCCTGTATAAATCAGCCGGAAGAAATGTCGCTTTCCATTCCAAATAGCCTGGGTTCTGTAATACAGTTTGTGGGTGCAGTGGTGCTCCCTCTATTTTTCAAAGTGTTCAACATTTCCCCATTCTTCCAATGGCGCTTCCCTTCCCAAACAGCCCTGGTCAGAAGCCAACATATCCCCCTACATCTGATGATGTTTGTGGATTCTTTATATTAAAATAAAACGTATAACGTATATATTTTATATGCCCATAAGGAACCACAAATCCATCTTTGTCCAGCGATTCCAAATCCTTTGTCAGGACCGACAGAAGATGGTGGAAGCTCTTCGTCGAGTATGGAGAAGGCAGCACTGTGTAGAGCAGCCGGGTGCAAAAAGTTGGCCTTGGTAGGATGCATGTTTGAGGGATATAATATGATGAGTTTGGGTTTTGACTCTATATTAAAAAACATCACAGAATATGGAAAAGTAACCATTCTTTCCAGGTACCCCTGCATGTTTGTTTTTCCATCATTCAGTGGTAGCAAAGGCTGCACACTCATTACCAAAATGGGTTGCTTGGCACGGCCTCTACCCTCATCACCATGTAAAGCTATTGGAATACAATGCTCATAGCAGCTTTCAGAGTTGTCACGGAAAAATGGAAAAGTCGGGTCGATCTTCCTGTAGTTCCGCCAGAAGCGGTCTAGTTCTCCCCGAAATGCTTTGGCGTTGTCATCCAAAGTATTGCCACCCAAAAAAAAATGGCCACCATGACGAAAAATGCAATCCACCCAATCCCGAATGCGAAGCACAGGGTAGTTTGTTGGAATGAGATGCACTCTCCTCCGTGAAGTTCGGACCCACAAACGTACAGTGCTGACTTTCACCGGTAATTGTTTCCCAGTTTTGTGAATCACCTGGTGCAATCTCCCACATGCATGCGAGTCCCTCTTCGATTTCCCACAGCGGGCAATTTTTCTCAGAGTTGTATCCGTGATACCTCAGTCAGCAATGAACATGTTGGCTATAAATTTGTGAGCTTCGACACATGTAATTCAGAAGCATTGGATAGAACTTTAACCGCTTCGGCAAGATACCTTTTTTTCGAAGCTTGTTGTTGGCCACAGTTGCAAGTCTCACTATGCTAGCGGCTGTTTGAGCCTGGGTTGAGCAAATCAGTGTGACAGTGTGAACAATATTGAACAATATTTGTATTTAATAGGTGTAACTTTAAAAGATGGTGTCATGTTGACAGCAGGCCACCAGCCACCTGTAAATATATGCTGACCAGGAACACCTTCCTCCAGTCCGCACAATAGCTCATCTGCCAGGTCGCTGTCGTCGTCATTCTCTTCATCTGTGAGCAGGCAAGGAAGGGCTTTAGGTTTTTGACTGGCATGGTAATGGCATCGACCGGGATTCTAAGATGGGCCACTTCAAAAATCAACCGGCCTTCCAGTAGTCGAGAAGTCACTAAATCATCTCGGGAATGACCTGCGAAGGGGAACACAACATGTAGTTAGCATCAAATCTGTTGACCACAACCATGCAATATTTCCCAGCTTGGAGCAGTTCGGCGACTGTAAAGGCAAAGCATATCAAAGCGTATCTTTTTTGTCTACCCCGAACTCACGTAGAGGGAAACCCAGCAGCCCTAGGAAGCTGAAACACAGCATGAGCGGAGCAACGGAATGATTCCTGGTTACATTCAGCTCCACCTTTCCAAGTAGCAACTTCTAGCTGCATGGGGGCATGCCGCAAGCATTGCCTGTAGAAAACTCAAAAGTCGAGGTTTTCCCCGGACTAACATCAGATCCATCAAGTTTGATGGCCCCTAATCCTTCTTGACCTTTCGGGTCTTTACCTTAGCCTTAGCTTCAGCGGTCGCAGGCTTGGGCTTGTTCGGCTTGCCAGAACTCGAAGAAGCTGCCTTCAAGGTCCTGGCATTGGAAAGGGCTGGAAAATGATGGAAGCATTTAGGGCTGGAAAGGTGAAAATTGTTTGCAAAAGTAATCTCTTTTTTTCACTTGCTTGGGTCCTAGCTCGAACCACCAAATTGTTGAGAGCAACATCCGTCTTGGTGCATTGGGCACATAGCTTGAGAATTGCCTGCTGGGTCTCTGGCCTGACGAGTTCCATGGATCATGTGTGAGGTATATGAGAATTTAATTCAAACAATGGTCAAGCTAGCATCATCTTACTTAGAAAGACCCATGGCGCCTAGCTGAGCGAGTCACAGCACATTCCGCTTGCAAATCCTCCAGCTTTTGGTAGATGTCCTGCATGTAGTTGACCTGGATTTGGATTTGCTTGGCATGCCTCGGATGGACGTCAATTCACGATGCATTTGAAATTGACAAAGGGTGGAAGTCCTCAGAAGAAACATGAATAATCTTTGCATGAGTGCACACTAGGCCCTAAACTCAGTGGCTTGGTTCGTCTTCAAACCGGAAAGCTTGTCCTGCCACGGGCGCAGATAAAAATAGATAAAGAACCAAAGGACGAAGCTAAAGTTGAATCATGATGACCCAGCTGTTTATATAATCACAGTAAATAGGCATCAGAAAAAACGGTCCAGAACACCCGTGGTATTGTCGATCTTTCGGCCACATACTTGGAGAAACTGTGGCAGCACACTGACAGCGCTAGCATTTTCCTGGATGCTAGGGAAGCACAGCCTTGGCCGTGAGCACCCAGAAGGATTGTATCGTATTTTTTGAAACGTACCACCTTGCAGCATTTCATGATTTCGTGGAACAAAACATGGCCAAAAATTGGGCCAAAGAGCTTGAAAGAGCCTGAGTTGGCAGCAGCCTGATCGCCAGGCGTGTTGCCTTCAGCATCTTCATCAAAATGCCCAAGCACCTGGAGGCCTGAACCCTGGGGCAGCTCGTCAGCCAAGAAGCCACCATCGGCATCCTAGGCCAATTGGAAAGTCACAAAGATGATGTGTAAAGAGTCACATGGAATCAAACCGAAATTATTGGAAGGTCTAGATTGATGTCAATAAGAAAACAAAAGGACATGGCGCCCTGAATCATTTGCCATGACTCTTCAATTTCCATCCTCTGAGACTGTTCTGTACTTTGCTCATGCGTTTCATCGAACGAGAAGGCTTCGTCCAACAGAAGCTTCGCTTCTTGTTCACCGTGAATTTGACTGGTTCGCAACAAGTTGTGACGTGAGGCATATTCAAACCCGTTATCAGCCATTTTCCTGAGCAAGTTTGGAACTGTCATGGCCCCAAAAGGTATGATAATGTTGATGGAGAAAATGTGATTTAACTAAGAGATTGTCCGTGTCCAACCCATGGTGTTCACGAGGTAGTGCTTTGTTACCCACCTACCTTCCTTGCGCCGGCCAAATCTGGTCTTGGAGGTGCGCTTCAACTCCAGCTCCACATTTGCAAAGTCCATGTTGTTGGCCAACATCAGGCTTCTCAGCTTGCCACCTGGGCCGGGCAGGGAACAAACGCATTATATAAATTAGAAAATCAGAATCGTAAGTGGGTGATGGGGTGGGGTCAAGAATCCATCATGAATCCATCATAATCCATCATTGTTCAACATGTAACCCATAAACGAGAAGACTGCAAATCATAGATAGGCTTCATAAGTCGAGGTACGTCCCTCGGGTGTCTTCCACAAATCCAAAGCAGCTTTGGAACATGTGTCCTTCTTCAGCACGCACTGACGTCGAATCCTTACATGGGGCGCATGCCCAACATATGGGGAACTGTGAACAGTTACAGACTTGATGCGAGAAATTCCAAAAGGTTGCTACGGTAAGCAAGATTTAAGCTGAAGAACTTCCAAAACAAAGCATCCTTTGTTTTCCCATTCTCCTTTTCCTTCACCATGACTTCGGCTCTTGCTCCGGGATTCGCAGGAGGATCTTCTTCAGACCCAGCATGGACCGAGGCATCGGGAGAGCCAGGGGCAGGGGTGTCAACTTTGGTATCGGGTAGTAGGCACTCAGGTTCGCCAAAATCTCTAGGTGTTCCATGGCACCAAGGGGACCATGGTGGAATCTGAGCATCATTTTCGGGGGAAGACGAAGCAATGCTAAGAGCTGACTTTGGGATACGTTTCTTGACATTCTCCACTGGCGCTCCTGCCACAAACTTGCCAGTGCTGTGGGCGAGAACCGGAGCACCTGGAACCAACAACATACAAATTGAATTCTGTGTTGCATTGCTGCCACATCCAGGTTTTGAATCAATCAAAAGAATATGCATGGTATCAAACAACTTGAAACGCCAAACGCCTTCAACAAGTGGTGGTGTGTCCACGTGATCACACTCACGGAGATTTTCCCTCAACTTGAGCAGTTTTTCTTCTTGGGCCTGCCAGATGCTTTTGATGAGAAGGGCATGGGAACTCTTTGTAATTAGACTGAAACAGCAACATACAGTTTGGAGATGTATATGTACGTATTTGTGTAAGTGTGTGTGTGTGTATGTGTGTTAGCAAGACTCAGGAGCCTTGATAAGAGCATCGAGGTCCATGTTCTCCTTCTTCGATCCATCATGGTTTGTTCCTAACATTTCGGTACCTTCCACTAAAGTCTTGCAAGATGCAAGCTGCTGGTCGGACATACCACCTACAACCCCTGACAAGCCAAAGTTGCTGCGCCCAGTGGACGTGTCAAGCCAGGAACCTATTGGCAAAGGACATACAGGGAGCAAAACCCCGAAAACACCAACAAAATTCTAGCATATCCGATGTAAACAACTCCGAACAGCTCCGAACTGCTCCGAACTCCGAAAGTGGACCCAAAAACCTCCGAATTTTGAAGTCATTAGTGGTAAAAACAATACGTAAATTCAATTTCTTGACGCTTTTCGGAGGCAATTGTACTACTTTTTGAAATTGCTGTCGAGTTGCGCAAAATTGCTGTCGAATTGCGCAAAATTGCTGTCGAGTTGCGCCCACTATTTCCCCCAGATTCGGCTGCGAACGGTGTCCGAACTGAAAAGTGTACGAATTACGTTCGCAATTGTTCCGAATCCACCTAATTGTTGCAGAAACATCGTGATACATGCTATCACTTGTGCGCTTCTACCTTAGATAAGGCAGGAAATTGGGATATGAATTCAACCATAGTCAACCCACAAACACAACCTAAGTCAAACTGCTGACTAGTTGCCAAGTCCTTGTGGAACTTGGACATGATTGGTTGAAATTCGTCGGGGATCCTGCGCAGGCCAGCTGTGCAGTGGCTGGGCAACGCCGGGCCACCCAGTGAAAGCACACCAACAAAGGTAGACATGGATTAGAAATTGGAATGGAATGGGGATGAATGGGGTATATGATGGTATATGTGTGTTTGAACGTGTATTTTTGAATTTCTTGGGAGCCCACCATTTCAAAAGATATGGCAAGCAATTTTTCCTTCAACTGTCTTGGGAATCGAGACTTGTCTTTACAGGATATATAGGTTGGCCATCAATTTGGTTCCCAATGGATACCAGTTTTGAAATGTTGATCATTTAAAAGTTTAGCCCATGCGAATCATGAATTGGGACAGTTTCAAACAAACCCAAAAAACAGTCCTTGTATGCCGACAAAAATACAAATATTGAAAGACTGGAAGGAGGCAGGCATCCTTCCAGACATCTCCCATTGGTAGTTCGTCAAACAGCTGCACGGCTGTTTTTTCCATGGACGGTGTTAAATTTACTCGCAAAGAACCGACAACTGGGCGACTGAGCTCTTGCATGTAAAGTTGATGCACGGCATCTCCAAGTTGAGAGGGGTATTGCCTAAGATCGCAAGTCCAAAGGTTAAAACCACATATTTCACCGGGGAAAGCCTTGAATTTTCTTGAGTATTCTTGAAACATAACTTGAAAGATGACTGTACAGTAATTCTGTAAAGGCTAGGGGCTGAGTTCGCTTCAAAGCCTCTTTGTCACCAACAAATCTACGTTGTCCAGACTTGTCAAGGTACTTTCCTTAGGTCAAGTGCGGATGGTTGGAGCGAACAGTAAGATATATGGCATAGCCAAATCAAATAATGAATAAAAGTTCCTGGTCCATCATTCCCAAACATGTTCAGTGGAGGTTCGGGTGGTTTTCACCGAAGTTTTGGATTGCCGTTCACTTTGTGTCATTCTACCCTTGTCGAGATCCCTCATAGTTGAAAGGTTTCCCCAGAACACACTCTGCTTGCTGCTCGTTCCACCGTGGTGTAGCATCCAAAATCGCACATAGAAAACCTGGGCTTGCAGGTGTGCTTTCAAGAGGGTACATAACGTGATGTTACATGACCTGGAACAAGAAGCTATCGTCAAAATAGCAACCAAGAAACCCATGCAACCCGGTTGCAGAACCATTCAAATCGTGGGTGTCGGAAAAGAAGACTTTGGGATGGTTGTTCCAATAGGAACAGGCAATTTTGGCATAATACCAGAAGAAGGCAAAGGGACAGCCTCAGGTTCGAACATCTACATATAAGTAAAGATCGAATAAACATATAAACGCTTACTCGAATGTCATTTTCCAGGGCAGCCTAGGTTCCGACTTATCATGAGATTGGCTCGGGAGACAAACTGGTAGAATTCATGTCCAAGAGGGCAAATGTATGAACGTCCTGATGTTCCTCTGCAAGGGATGCCCCAGGATCCACAATCCGGAGCCCACAAGCTCAGGCCCCGGTCCACCAGATTCAAGATGCTGTACAGTGACAGCCTCAGCCAACAAGGTGCGGTGAGGATCTGGAAGGATATGGCGGGATCGCCAAATCGATGGAGTTAGTGGATATGGATTTCAAAATCAATTCAAGATACAGAAAGCCACTCACCGAGAGAAAGTCCATATGGTGCTGGCTGTACTCATAATCGATGCTGGCAACTCGATGACCCAAAGTATGCCTTACATAGGGTTTTCACTTGAAGGAACAAGATTCGACATGATGATGCCTGTCATTTGTTTGAAGCACTAATGTTTAGCAAAGTACATTCTTCTGGAAACCTGTCCAGCTCCTGAGAAAACTTCCAGAAAGGTAAAGGACCCGCTATGCTCCACAGCCTCGTTCCAATTAAGGAGCAAAACCTAGGATCGGGCGTTTGTTCTCCAGGTCCATGGATGTGGTATCAAGATGTATCAAGCCTTTGTTTATCTTTGTTTGCACCAATCAAAATCATTTTCCTGAGGAGAAGGCCACTGCTAAAAAAGCCTGCCGACAACACCCATATCACTTGGATTCAAGTAATAAGGAATTGATATGACCAAACAATCAGCATTAAAATGTTACCCATGTATGAGCTTCTAGTGATATGTTTTAACCCAGCCTTCGGGGCTTGGCATTGGATCAGCGAAATGATCAAGTCCCGGGTAGAACGCGCCATCCAATTTTTTGGGGATGGGCCCTTCGAGGTTTTGAGTTTCTAGCCAAAAGCTGTCCAAAAATCACAAGCTGTTTCTCAACTTGGATAAAAGGTGAAAACAACCACACGATATGCACTGGTTGCATGCAGAGGGGGATCGCACCGGCTAGGCTTGCCTGGACTCTCCAGCCAAGCGGTTCAGGAGGCATGCAGCCTATCAGAGCGGGAGGGGAGCGAAGTGATCTATGTTATTTTTTCGTGCCACCACATGACATTATATTGTGCACATTCTGGACACTTTTTTCCGTACATGCCCGAAGCACAAAGTTTGATGGATACCATCTCACATCTCACCATATCATCAACATCCACATGTTGTACTTTAAGCAGCACTGTGGCATGCTCAAGTCACGTGGCCCCAAAACCAAAGTGGTTGAAGCTAGCACTTTCGGAAAGCAAGATGTTTGAAGAAATAAAAATGTTTAATTTAGAGAATTTGTATTGAACAAATCTAGCTTCAAAGTACCCCGTATCACCGCTCTTGCTGGCTGAACTCTTCAGTTGCAGGCTGCATAGGCCTTGGCTGTATCGATTTGGAATGGGACACAAAAACATTTTTTCCTTTGGAAATCCTACGGCTGTGAAAAACACACGGCATGGGAACATTGCAATGCAAAACATAATATTAGTCGTGTTGCAAGCTTTGCTGCCTTGACAGCTTCTTCCTCTGTCTTTCCTTCATTCCTTGCCTGGGCCCTTGCTTTCTTGTATGCACATGACTTTCGCGACAGCTGGGCTTTTCTCTCTGCCTGTGCGTTGTCATGCTCATCTCTGATTGGTTTCTTGTCATGGGTGCTGGTGCGCTTCTTGCTTGCAGATTTCTTTGGTTTCTCTGCTGTGGGCGGGTCTGCAAAAACCTCCTTGCTCTTTCCCTTTGCCTTCCTAGAATGCTTTGTCTTGGTGGCTGGTGTGCCTTTGCTCTCCGCTTTCACAGGTTCGGAAACTTGCTTTCTGAAGTCTTTGGAACCCTTTCCTTTCTGAGCATCAGTATCCCTTCCATCCTCGAATCCCTCTTTGCTTTTGCTGGCTGCCCGTTTGGATGCTGCCTTCTTGTGTGATCTTTTTTTACGGGTAGCTGCTGGCTTTTCCTGGTCAACCTCCGTCTCCTTGTCATCCTTGGTGTCATTCTTGCAGTTTGGATTCTTTGAAGTTTTTGCCTTGCTTGGCTTGGAAGTGCTGTGGGTAGGGGCTCGGCTGCTGCTGCTGCTGGGTAAGAAGCCAACGTCCTCCTCGCCATTTGCTGCTGGATCCTCATTGTCCTCCTCTTCTAGGCCTTGTAAGTTGTGTTCTGGGTACCAATCAGTTTCTTCTTCCTCATCCGTGCTTTGAGCAACTTGGTTTGCCTTCCTCTTCCTGGATACCGTTGCTTTGGCAGCCTTACCTCTGGCCTTTGCTTTTGCCTTTGGCTTGGGGGATGCCTTTGCTTTGGCTTTGCTCTTGCAGGTCGCAGTCGCCTTGGCTTTGGCTTTGCATTTGGGTGCTGCCTTTGCTCTGGACTTGGGGCTGCTAGATCTAGTGGGAGGGCGTCCTCTCCTCTTTGGGTTTGCTGCATTCACTGTTGCGTTCTGCTCTGCAGGGGACATGCTATCGGTGGTTTCGACAAGTTTTTCAACAGGATCTTTGGCCAAAGTTGTGGCCTCTTTGGGGTTGGGATCCGTGGGAGTTGTCACAGTGCCTTTCTTGCTTGACTTTGCTTCATGCTTTGCTGCTTCTTTGGTGTCTGCATCTGTACCTAGATACTGCGTGGTGCTCCCATCTTGCTGACGCTGATACTGAGTCCTCAAAACATCCGCTGACTTGTCGCCATCCGCAGGTGGTGGAGGGGACGTCTTCTCAGCCTACCAGAAAAAAAAGGAACAGTAAATCAAAGGAAACTTTCGCAAACATCATGGGCAGCTGATTCAAAACAAAGAAATTAGCGAATGTTCTTTTACAATTTTGTTTGATCAGGTTGCTTTGGCTTGCATTCCTTTTTAATGCATGTGTATGAAAATTCAAAAGGCCTCAACAGCTGCCAGCTTGGAAAACTCATCGTCACCCAAAGGCAAAGTGTCATGGACCTCTTCGCCTCAATTCCATATTGACCAGAAGAAATGGTCACATAAGTTGTTGTGCGCAAATACACCGACACAAAAAAGTGACACTGTATGTGTTCACACATATATACAAATCCAGCTGAGAAACGATGATTCAACTTATTTTTTTGCTCCAACAGCTTTGCCAGTTGTTCCCGTTCTTCTTGTAGCTGCTTCAACAACTTCAACCTCCTCAGTTCCTTTACCTCCTCGGTGTAAGTAAAGTCACGACGGGCCTCCAGCATGATTTTTTCATTTTGCCTTTCCGACCCCTCTGCATGAGGAGGAAGCTCAGAAGGCACAACAGAGACTGGACATGGCTTGTTTTCCAAATCGGAAACTTTGTCAGCCACTTCATGACATCTATTGCACACAAAATTTGCCTTTACCAAGGTGTGCGTACCCCTCTTGCACCTTGAAAAACGCAACAGATCGTGTTTTCGATGCACAAGCTTGCACTCGCTACACATCTACCCACAAGCGATAGGTTCGTGGAAAACCACCTTCTCCCCAGACATCACAGGTGAATCGATACCTAGGTGCCGGGGCAACATGTGACACTGTATGCTATATTACCTATATTGGGACAGATCTGCGCACTTCAATTTCACACATATGTGGAACATGATATGATTTGGCATCCCAGCCACGGCCACGAGGCGGCGGTGTGCAAATCGGAGACTCGACTTCGCCGGGGGTGCCTAGGAAAGCTGGTCGGTTCTGATCAGAAAAAAATATAGTTGAACCAAATACAGGACACTGGTCTTTATATAATTCATCGATATTTTCAAATCTTGTTCAACATGTTTGCAGTCAAACCACTGTTGGACTTGTCAGTGGGAACCAGATCTGCAGGAGCAGGGGGCTTGGCATCCGTAGGATCCACAGGTTTTTCCTCCACAAGAATAGCAACATGCCCATCCCAACCCACTAAAGTTTGACAGTGCTGATGGTTTTTACCTACTGGTGCTCCCAGGTAGTTTGGTGTCCTCTTCATCGTCATCCAAGGGCTCATCGTCTGAGCAGGCAGCCTCGGACTCGGCACTCTCGTAGTCGTCAGCGTCTTCAGTGTCTCCTGAAAAGCAGACTTTAAAGCAAAGATACTACTTTTTTAAAAAAATGTTGTCAACCATAATCAACATCGATCCCAACAGGGATTTCTAGCATGATTATAAATTTGCACATGTGATCGAATCCAATTTAGGGTCCTTCGGGTACTGGCTCCACATTAATGCCAATCGCTGCAAACAGTCTTCGCATCTGGGGGTCTCTTGGGATGTGCGGCCGCCTGGCCACCTGTGCAAAGATGGTAATTAGCCTCCTCAAAATCCAAGCTTCAGTCTTGATGTTCACACCTGGGCCAGATTATGCGCAGGAAGTATTTGAAGGACCTATGTGGTAAACAAATCTTTCCGTATGATTCATTCATGTTTGATGGTTGAACCTATACCAATTGCTGCTTCGCAACTTTTGGGCAAAGCCTTCCCCCGGGGTCGGGAAAGATAAAGGAATCGAGCCACCACATCCATCACGACTCCAATGCCCGGACGAGTGCCTAAGCCGGACAGAACATTAATCTATTATACCATATCATACCGAAGGACAGGGATTCCCCACTTGTTTGCAAAACAATTCAGCTAGGGTGCCAAAGTGTTGAATCAAGGGTTCAAGAACGTCGGCGTTTTCAGCCACTGATTGACGATCCATTTTCTTGCCAACTTCGGCAATCTTTCCACCAGCCGCCCGGGAAACTACAAGGTCTAGTTTCATCCAAGCGTTGACTACTGGGCATTGTTTCTCATCCAACCCAGACTCGCTTGACGCCATGGTTGGGCCAAACTATGTTTCAACTTCAACCTTTTAAGCCAGCGCTACCCATAAAATCAAAATCGTGAGAAATCAAACCACAATCTAAGATGTGTCCACAAAACAGCGGTCAAGTTCATCCAAGGTTGATCAATTGTCAGCCCTGCCAGGCCTACATCAAAATCTCGTACCTGGAAGGGAGCGTGCACTAGAACGCACGGGGCTACACACGGATCACATTAGTAATAAACTCATCAAAGAAAGATTCTCAAGGCGCACCCCATGAGATTGGCACCCGACATTGCAGGTCTTTTGACGTATTAATGGCCGCGGCTAGGGGCGCGGGCTCAAAAAACATGACGAATTCCAAAAAGTTGACGATGCCATAAAAAGTTGACGAATTATGAATTATCACTCGTTTTCCTCAAAAGGACTACGAAGGCAGGGGGGGAGACTTTTTTCCAGTACGTTTGGATGTTCAGGTATACATACATATAGGTATGTAGGTGTATGTACTATAGATATGTACATTACATGTAAAAATATATATATATGTATATAGCGATTGCACCTCCACCGAAGCCTTCATGCCACCCCAGCCCCCTTTTCGTCCCATGTCTAATCACCGGCTGAGTCCCAAACCCTTTGGCACCTTGAGGGTTTCCTGATCAGCGGATCTTTTGGGTCTGTCCACAGTGAAAACAAAAAGCACACCATGGGCTTTGACCCATGGGGATATGGATGTCTGAAAATGGTGAATACCTCAAGGCCTCAAGAATGGCTATTTAGAAGGGAAAATGATGATAAACCGGAAAATTTAGCGGTACTATATGTTCAAACAAACCTTTATTGATATGATCTAATGGCAATCAAACATAGCTGGGAAATTCGTATCGATAGATGAAGGTTTACAGATGGGAAATGCATCGAACTAAGTGGGAGATATGTCCATCGCCAAATTTGATTACCGAAGTGTCCACAGGACCACAGGAAGATGGGGGAATGTGCATCACACAATTGGAAGCAGTGATGCTTAGTTGACGGTGTATACGCAATACGCGCCACTCCATGACATGATGTGGTCACCATTTTAAGGAGTGCCCAGGCTTCGAAGCTTTTCACTGATCACAGGCCTTGGATAAAGTGATATGATGAACCTCTCGCCCTGTCGTTTGAAGAGATATATCCCTACACAGAACCCCAATACCAGCCAGGAATATTGAGTTGCAATGTGCCGCAAGATGCAAGTTTGGAAGATATTCTTTGGATATTTAATCTTTAAAAAAAAACTGAAATCCAACATCTGAAACCCATTTTGATGTCCTCGGTGAGCAAAGTCCTCATGACCTCAGCTGCAGGATTCCAACTCTCCCGGGTGAAAAGGAGTAGCTACCACTGTTGTACAACTGTTCCATGGGAAAACGATGATTTATGCGATTTTACCATTGGAAAATGATCCGATTTTAAGAATCAAACCCTTGGGCAATCCTTGGGGAAAAGATGATGGGATTACTTTTCGAAGGGTGTCCAAATCCAGGGCTTCCGTAGCGATCTTCGTTGACCGTCCCTGGGTCTGACATTTCGACTCTTAGCCATACAGTAGCTGTAATGATGATGATAATTGGTAATGATATGTAATGATATAGTAATTGAAGGTTTCCTAAAATGGGGGTACCCCCCAAAACGGAACTTTTTAGTGTTGAAACATGTTGAAACCTATGGTTTTGGGGGTCTCTATTTTTAAGAAACCCCGTATTTGTTTAGCAATAGTTACTATTGCCATTATTGCAATATATTGCAATGATAATAAAACTGACATGATAATGGCAATAGGTAATGTAATAACCAAATTATATATGATGAGGATGATGAGGATGAGGAGGAGGAGGAGGATGATGATGATGATGACGACTTTGACGATGAGAATACATACCGTAATCGGGATCGGGGCCAATAGAAAATGTGGACATTCACCATCACCAAGCCCAAGCTGTTCCTTGGTTTGATGAAATTCTGTCGTGGATGGAAGGTGCAGCTATCTTTTGCTATAGATCAACCCTGCAGGCTGGACAAATCACATCAGTCCGCTTGTGCATCTTCTCTTCAATTTGAAAGAGAGGACTGCTATGGCTATGTATTTGATGGGAATCCTTTCTATGCGTTGGTAAACCCAGAATTGCGATGTGAATTGGGAAAAGTATGATAAAGCACTGAGAATTTGGGTACCCCCAGTTCTCCATTGATGGATTGTCCATTCTAAACCATCCCGAAGAGCGTGGAATTTCACGCCCTCGCCGCCAGGCCACAACTATCGATGTGCTGTGAGGCGAATGTCGCGCAGTTCTCAGGATGCCGCTGGGCCAAAATGTCGTGGACGGTCACCAGATTTTGCCGTTGAAATTCCAGGACCACGCGAATTCGTAGCTGTACAGGTAACCCATGGTAACCCATGGTAACCCTTTCTAGTGTTGGCATGCGAATGAAGCATGTGAGGTCCAGATCTGATCTCGAAAGATTTTGGTGAAGTCCTACTGGAACTGACAGTCTGTGTGTCTCCCCATACACTACATTCTGCAAGGCTGTCCCACTGGGCCTGCCACTGTTGGAAAAAACTGTGTAACGGACATGACCAAGTGCACAAGTAGGTTGCCACAACTCCCAGGAAAAGTATGGAAAAATATCATTCTCGCAGTGTGAGTAACATTGATCCCACTCAGTTTACACTCTTCCAGGCATCCCAAAGGTCGTGAGCACAGCATTTTTCCACTCCTGTGGCTGGGCGGCACATCGGTAACACAAGGATGCAACCCTGCTGGCTGAACGCCCAGGCAACCCACACCGTGAGATTCGATGTTTTTGCAGAAGAGACCACGGGGGACCATAGCCTTTTAAAATCACACTAAAACACTCTCTGCTTCCGGTTTTGTGGGTTGCCTGTGATGTAAACCCTTTTCGGAAGATCCCTGAGTCATCCTTTTGTTGATTTTGACTTCAAGGGTGAGACATGGCTCTGCAATACTTTCGCGCCCAAGGTGCCTTTTTTCAACCATGAAGTCCCACCTACGAAGTCTATAAATGGACTACACATGGATATTTGCAATATCTATGTGAGGGTGTCCATAAATGGGGGTACCCCAAAATGGCTGGTTTATAGTGGAAAATGCAATCAAAATAGATGATTTGGGGGTACCCCCATTTCAGGAAACTTCCATGTATTTATGGATTAGATTAGACATCATATCACGCCAGGTACTCTTACCTTGGACTTTTCAGCTCAGTGGCCGCTGGCCAAAAACAGCCCCTGCCCCGGGATACAGAAGAAACCCATGGCGGCATGGCGTAGCAGCTGTGGGTCTCAGCGCCAGTACTGATCTTGTTTCCTTAGATAACCAGAAGGGGAGATAGCTGCAGGAGTTCATGTAACTGGTTTAGTAACACTGGTTGGCAACTGATTAAGTAACTGGTTGGGAAGCGGTGGTGAAGAAACCGCTTAGGAACTGGTTTGGTTATGTGGGTCAGCAAAGCAAGATGGCATATGAACTGGTGAGGGTTATATATCAAAACAGCAGCCAAACGGGGAGATACTCTAAGCAATCACCCTGAATCAGAAGTCCCCAAAGCAAATATGATGTGCTGAAACGGGGAAAGAGTGAGGCCTGTTTGGTATACCAGTTGTACCTATGGATCATGAAAAAAAGGTGCCACCCTCCACAACTAACCAGTGGGAAATGGACATGTATGCCAAGTAAAACATAGTTGAATGTGAACTTTGAAGCCTGAGTTCTAACTTGCATCTTCACCCATGTGCTCTGGATGAACTGGGATCCTTGGTAGCTCTAGGGTTACTCCAGTGGCCGTCTCCTCACGTGAGCTTCCAAGCGGCGTGATATGCAGGATTTCGTCCATGGTTTGCTTCACCTGCTTCGTTTGGAAATCTCCAGGCCAAAATGGGAGGGGCCTCTCGAAACTGAGGTGGGTTCATTGGAACAGGTGCTAAATCTGGCCAAAACTGCTTGTGATCGACAAGATGGTAGCCTTTGCATCATCCTAAATTCCAGCATGAAACCCCACATGCAACCACGTAGGAGCCACCGTCTATCATGAGTCCTTTGTAGATGGCCCCCAGAGAAGTGGATCCAACATGATCCATATATATAAATCGTCAGTTTCCATGAAAATGCTAGGTTGCGCTTCAGTAAGTTTCGAAGATTGGATTTTCCCTGTTCGATCCAGACCTCAGGGAAGTCTTTCCAGTACTTGATCTGTGTGGCGGTCATGTGACTGCGCCCAATCTGTACCTGCCGCAAGCCGGGGCAGACTGCTGGGCACTGGGCAGCAATACCACAAGAAAAAGCAACACGGACATTTCAAGGTTATAGCAAGTCGCAAGAAGATGCAGAACAGCTTCAATTGACAACTATGGATTTTACCTTTTTTGGATTCGTTTGGGGGTTGCCTTGAGGTTTGCCCTGGCCAGTGATTTTTAAACATCTGAATTGCTTGGTCTTGGATGTTGACCCTCAACCCACCAGGTTTTCCCGGCTTTTCCGAGGTTTTCCACCCAAAAATACGTGCAAGATGCAGAACTCTGGCGGCGGAACACGGCAAGTCTGTGGTGCAAACCATGGTTATCTGATGTTATCTGGGGTGTGCTTTGATGTTTCTTCTAAACCAGCTCAGAGACACTTGCAAGTGGTAATTTGTTCAAACTTCAGAGATGCACCACCGCAGTTCAATCTACCTCGACAAATCATTCTTCATAGTTATCTTAAGATATCTTAAGATCCAGAAATCATTATCACCAATGGACAATCAATCATCCCTTAGCTAAGAATCCTCAATTTTGGGAGGACCAAACATCTTAGGTTTGTCCCAAAGTAGGGCACCCAAAAATCCAATGGCTTATTGATTATCATCTATACCAATACTCCATTCCTGGACAAACTTTATCCCTTTCATGATCCCACCCCCCAACCCCCCGCACCGTCTGCCAGTCTAAAGCATCGATAAGGCCAAACTCCAATAAAACCGGCCTCAGGTCGACCCAAGAGCGGAGGCTCCCATCACTTGTGACTGATGAAAAACCCTTCTCCCGATATTCAACACCCAGAACCCCTGCTGGAATGTATTCGATCTATTGATGTTTATCCATGTCTTGAGGAATTGAGTCTTGGGGCGATGGGATTGACTTCAGTTATAAGCCACTTAGAAAAAATTGGATAAGTCTAGCTCGGGGACTTCTTGACACCAGGATTCTGAAGCATGCACGGATTATCCTCCAAGCATGTATTTTGGGCGTACCGGCGGACTACATACTTCGTTTTGGCTATGCAGCTCGGAAGTGGATTATAGACACGAACCAGATACCAAGTTGGCTGGTGAAGGGTAGGATTTGCGGGAGCCCCCTTCGTTACAGATACGCAAAACCTCCAACATTCTTCGGCTCTTTTTTGGGGAATGGATCGAAACCTAGCCAGTTGGAAGGGATGAACAATGAGGAACACCCCATAACACCTCAGCTAGTTTGGGGTCGAAACCCGGCGCATGGCCTCAACCTGCTGGTCTTAGGGCCCCCAGACCCCTCAACCTGCACCAGAATCTCTTCTATGGCCAGGATATATCGCCTCAGACTTCATCATCCGATCCCATCCAATCCCCAGATTTTCGCAATCCCTTCTCCCTGATTGTAGAGCCAATGTGGGAGCCAAACATGAATAGATTCAATCATAAAACCAGGGCTACTATACTGAGGTATTGAATATTCAGGGAAAGGATTGTATTGTATAAGCCCTACTTTTGGTATCATTTGCTGATCTAGCAGTCCAGAGAAATCCCCAACCCCCTCCCAATCTTTGGCGCGCCAAAGTCAAGGACCCACAACAGAGGGAAAGGTTTCTCCACTCGTGAAGTGTTCAGGAGATGCTTCAGTGGATCCATTGAGTCATACTCCCAAGCCAACTACCTCGCTCTTCAATTCCGATCCAGAGGTCAAGAAAACAAGGACCCTAAATCCAATCCATTGATTTTCGGACACCATCCGCAAACACGCCCTGCACCCCACTTGGCTTCAGGCATCATGTCCTCAGTGGGGGGGATCCCTTGGGCCTTCGGGCCTTCAAGCTTGACCCATAGGACCTAGGCCTCGATAAACTGGTGAATTCAAGAGCTTTGTGGCCATGGGATGCCACGGGGGAATATGATCTTCCAACATCTTCCAACAAAAATTGACTTTTTTGAGGGGTACCTGAGACATACAGTCCTGGGATTTGTCCAAAACTCTTGAACATCCCCTCGTGCTTGCCACGGTTTTCCCTGCCAAGTGACCTCTTAGAAACGGAAAACCAATGCGTTTGACGGGGCCTTCAAATTCCAGAAACACCCAAACATCAAACCACTCCTGCTGAATATGGCTAAGGGTACTTTCTACAAAAAAAATTGGTCCCCTGCGTCTTGATGTTTGGCCCGTACATACCCATACATACCCATAGATACCCATGTGTGGCTTGGAAATCCGCGCTTGCTGGGAGTTCAATCGCATCCAAGGGACAGGATAGCACTTTCGGGCCAACTCCGAGAACTGTTTCTGGTAGACTGACTGTTTGTACACGCTTTTGAACCTTGGGCTGACCAGCACACACTCATCAAAGGATTGACTTGGAGGAATTCTGCAGGTTTCCAAATGTTTTTGCAATCAAACGCAGCGATTTGCGGTTTTTTTCCCCTTGAATCACTTCTGGGAAGGGGTTTCACACTTTAACCCCTACAAAAAGGGTTGATCCCAGATGCGTTTGTGCGGGAAACGGAGTCGATAAAGAGGTAAATGAGCAGTTTCTCCCCTTTTGCAACAACATTTACCCATACGTACCATCTGGTAATATCAACATAGCTATGGAAAATCACCATTGCTAAGAACAATAAATCATATTAAGAAGATTTCACAAATAGCCATGGAAAAATTGCCATTCTTCATAGGTAGTTAATAGGTCAATCATAAGAAATCATCGAACTACATGGGCCAACTAACTATACCATACTTGGCGGTTCATCCCACTGTGTAAGTGGATTATAACCTTGGTTATAAATGGGATAAGTAGGGTTCATCCACTCATAACTGGGGTTTTAACCCACTTACCATTCCTGGGATGAACCACCAAGTAGCAAACTCTAACAAATGACCAGGGGTTTACGGCGCTTACGGCGCTGTTGAGAGGCTTCTCTTGAAGTTCCAGCAACTGCGAAGGTGTCACCTGGGAGCCAAGAAAACCCAACAACCATCATTTTATGGGGATATAATGGGGATACTACTGGCGTTATTGTGGACATATGTGGACATTGTGGGATACCATTAATATATTGAGGCATAATTCGGGATAATTCGGGATATGATGGGTATATAATGGGATATTAATGGGTTTATAATGGATATAAAGGGATATTCAGGGGAATGCGATGGGTATGCAATGGGATGTATTGAATATAAAACGGGATGGCATAAAATATCGGGATATCTTCATTAATCGTGGAGTTACATACATGATAATTTCAATGATAAGTAATACTTGTATCCATCAGGATAGAATAAGGGATGGCCAACTGAAAATAACATTGGGACAACCTATGGGACATATACATATACAGATATATGTTTACCAGGTAGTGCCCGGCACGGGCCGGGGCGGAAGTTTCGAATGAAACAACTATAGGAAGAAGATGGCCTATAGGAATGTTTTTGAGATGCAGAACCAAAGAAGTGTTGTGACATCAACGAATGAGCAAATGGTTGTTGAGATGCCAATGGGATGACATGAAAGAATCCATGCACCGCTGACTAAATGAATCAATGAACGAGCGAATCAGTGAATCATTGAATCAATGAACCAATGAATCACTGAATCAATGAACCAGCGTAGCAATGAATCATTAAATCAATGAACCAATGAATCAGTGAAGCAACGAGACACTGAATCAATAAAGCAATGAGTCCATGAATCAGTAAACCAATCATTGAAGCAATGAATCAGTGATTCAAAAACCATTGAGTCAATGAGCCAATGAATCAGTTAATCAATGAATCAGTGAATCAATGAATCAACGAATCAATGAGTCAATAAACTAATGAATCGGTGAATCAAAGAGTCATTGAACCAATGAATCAAGGAATCACGAATGAACAAATGACTGAGTTGAAGGATGGATGGATGGATGGATGGATGGATGGATGGATGGATGAATGGATGAGTGAGCTACTTTCTTTGTTGAGCTACTTCTTCACTGAGCGACCCCTTCGTTGAGGCGCCTCTTCTCTCAGCTACTTCTTCTCTGAGCAGCCACTTATCTGTGCTACTTCTGCTCTGAGCTGCCTCCCAGCTAGCTCTTATGTAGCTTCTGCAACCCAAGTCTTCTCTTCGCGCAGCTGGCGCCATCCGTTGAGCAACCTCCAGCTGCAATCCCTCATAGCACAAGAGTAGCTCTATGGTCAGGAACTACCTTTCGCGCAGCTGTTCCAATGCGTTTAGGAACCTCCAGCTGCAATCCCTCTTGCCAGGAGCGTCGCAGCATCACTCATGCCTTGCTGCGCGCAGCCGTGCCAATGCATTTTGTCACAGCTGGTTGCAAACCCGCATAGCAGGAGCATCGCACCAAATCGACCAACGTTCGCGCAGCACTGACACTGGGGACTCGACCACACAAATCCGGGGCTGCTCCTAACACCTCAGTTTTTTAAACATGTTTTTTACATGAAATTGAGCTCTCGCTACAGTCCTGTGCGCTTTTTGTCGACAACTTTCCCAGATCAAGCCGCGGAACCACCCTACTTCACTTCGGCGACCCCAGCAGCCACATTACCCGAAAAAACGAAGGGTTTCGCGCCTCCGAACTGTTACACTTCCCAACTACTTGATAATGGTGGTTGACATGATTGTGTGGTTGACATGATGGTGGAAAGGCTAACCATGACAAGCGTCCGTGACTCAGAAGTTTTCTAACTAAACTTCCTTTGATAATGACTAATGGAATGTATATCACACTAATGAGGATATAGATATTAGCAACCAAAAAATGCCTAAAAGTATTTTCAGGATGTTCGTTCGATGATATTTACTTCATATTTCCAGGTTTCCCACTTTTCTATCTTTTGAGGGGTTACTCTGAGGCGTTTCGGGTCAACCGTGGTTTGTTCATTGCTGTGGCTGTTTAAGATATGTGGTCACATTGGAATTGGACTTCTTTCTATTCCTTTCTATCATATTGGGTTTGCAATTTGGTTTGCGGTAGGTATCAATAAATGAAACTTTGCACAGGTAAAAAGTTTGGATGAAACCAAGACATTACCATACGAAAATCATCTTCCAGACTCCAGACCCATTCATTGTTTGGGTGTTGTCAGTTACCACGGGCACCAATTAATCGGCAGTGATCACAATGTTTAATTATGAAGTTTCATACTGGGGCCCACACTTCAGATATCAACAGTCTTCTTGTCTCTTGGGAGGAATAGAATTCGAATTACCCTCTGGAACGTGGCTAGCTGGGAAATCCCCTATAAATGGAGGCGTTAATGGGAAAATCATCTACAAATGGTGGAGTTTCCATTGTCATGTTTGATTAGCAGAGGGCACAGTACCCACTTCGCAGGGGTCATAGACGTTTGACCCCAGAATGGGGTACAAATCGACACAGAATTCTTGGTCCTGTCTGGCAGGGGCGTCATGGCTTCATAAAGATGCTCATCATCTAGACAGGTTGTGTGGAAAGCAGAGTGAAGCCCAAAACTAAACATCCATCCGTGAATCATAGCAAAATTCAGCAACCTCAAACAATCGTGTCATTTGTCTGATTCCCGTCATCCTGTAAACATCATTGATAGTTAAGTTGAGTCCTTTCTTATTCAGCTAGATCCATCATTGTCTTAACTCGTCTCACGAAGGAAACTGAGAAGCCCTGCTCCTTCCCATCCACTGAGCTCCTGTTCTGCCTGCCAGTTCCGCATAGGACCGGTATGGCTATGCTTTTAGCCATAGCAATGTGGACAAAACGATCCATATTAAACTTATAGTATTAAACGATCCATTTGGGGTGTATAATTGATGATTTATATAAATTTAGGTGTATATCATATCCATCACTAAACCAATCGTATTAAAGGATCCATTTGGGGTGTATAATTGATCAAAGGACACCCCATATCCATATTGGTACTAAAACATCTACTAGTATGTGGATTTGTCGGGAGAATGATGTCATTCATCCCATACTGGGAATCCATATTATGGGTATATAGATCTGCGTTAAATGACTGATGATCATGCTCCTTTATGGGCATATAAACCATGCACATATCACCAGCATAACACCATTATATATATATATATGTATCATATTTATAAGCAGATGATATCCCCATTATATGCCCACTACATCCCCACTAGTTCCTGGGAAGAACAAGTTGTTTCACCATCCGAAGTTCATCTGCACACCTCGCTATCGGATTCCGCACTCAGCGACTCCATCGGATCACCTGGCAGGGCATGTCTATCCCTTTTCAAGCACTTGTAAAGTATGTGGATCCTGTTGTGGCAGGGGTATTCATCCACATCCACAAGTTCCATCCATGATGGCTCGTTCTCTTCGGAATCTGGCTTCGACATGCTTCGACGTCGAAAACACCCAATGATGACCAGCAGCTCTTTTTGTGGGATATGGCCATGGCGGCCATGGCTCGAGATTTCGCCATCATTGGAAGGGGATGAACATGATGAACATGATGAACATCCATAAATCCCAGCCGTGGTGGCAATATCGCTATGGTAGGAATATCGATGTTCCCCACAAGGTCCACTCTAACAGTTAACATATCCAGCAGCACCTAATCCTCTGTCTCGGTCCAGCTGATCAGCCAAGTCCTCCAAGATAGATGGTCAATTAATGACCAAGAATAGATTGATCAGATTGGATAATAACCCGCCAATCTTATATTATTATATATATAACCATCTATTATTCGGGGTTCAGGCACCTAGGGTTAGTAGAAACACCTGTCCGTTGAAGTACTACAGATTCTGAGATATGCCGAGGCCCTACTGGGACCGCAAAAATCTACAGAAACCCTGGTATATTGCCCTCCAAGCCTATTTCTGGGCCTGAGCACTACTCAGCCAGCAAGATTGATAGGACTCAGGTCCCCAGTTCCAGTGACAATTAATTGGTGGTTCTATGTAACAAAAGGCACCGGTTTCCATAGCTATGTGCTGCGTCTCTGGCCACCCAGAAGCTATTGTGGCCAGAGTGATCAGCCATGGATCATGGACACTATTTATGAACATATTATTAAAACATATGTGATGTCTGAGAAGAATCGATCGTTTCAGGAAGTAAAAAGACTTGTGTGTGTGTGAGAACTCCCACTGCAATTTGTTTTGTCATGGGGGCAACGGATCAAACAAATATTATTGGGATCAAAAAATATTATTGTCTGGAGATCAAAACAGTTGTCATTAGGATCAAAAAACAATATTTCCAGTCACAGGAATGATAGAAGAAGTTAAAGTTGAAGCTAAAGTTGTTGTTGTTGTTCTTGTTGTTCTTGTTGTTGTTGTTGTTGTCGTTGTTTCATTTAGGGTTTCATTTAAGGTGTCATTTAAGGTTTCATTTCAGGTTTCATTTCAGGATTCATTTCAGGTTTCATTTAAGGTTTCATTTAAGGTTGCATGTAAGGTTTCATAAGGTTGCATTTAAGGTTTCATTTAAGGTTGCATTTAAGGCTTAATTTAAGGTTTCATTTAAGGTGTCATTTAAGGTTTCATTTAAGGTGTCATTTAAGGTTTCATTTAAGGTGTCATTTAAGGGTTCATTTGAGGGTTCATTTAAGGTGTCATTTAAGGTTTCGTTTAAGGTGTCATTTAAGGTTTCGTTTAAGGTGTCATTTAAGGGTACATTTGAGGGTTCATTTAAGGTGTCATTTCGGGCTTCATTTAGGTTTCAGCTAGGGTTTCATTTAGGGTTTCATTTAGAGCTTCTTTTACGATTCTATTTCGGCTTTCATTTAGGATTTCATTCAGGGTTTCATTCAAGATGTCTTTCTGTCTTTCTGTCTTGATATCTTTTTCATTATTTTCTTTCTTTTTTTTCTTTCTTTCTGTTCTTTCCTTTCTTTTGTTTCTTTCTTTTCATTCTTTTCTTTCTTTTCTTTCTTTCTTTTCATTATTTTCTTTCTTTTCTTTCTTCCTTTCATGGACCAGACCATGGAATGTGCAGCATCGCCAGGGAGACTCCTTGACAGTTGGGAAATCCAACAGCAGCGTCGCCTGAGCGGGCACAAGACCCTGGCTGTTACCGTGCACAAATTGTCTGAAAGAAAACATGGTCACCACTCAAAAATGGGAGGAAAAAAAAAACGTGGACCCACCTTCATGGTGTTTTGTTTAACACTATATTACTATGTAAATACTATATTATATAAATGAATGTTAACATCAAATTTTGCGGATGAATGATTTCAGAAAGGCGAGAGAACGTGGGAGTATATTATAGCGATTTCATCGGGATTCGGGTTATCGCTCCAAATCACCGACCCACAGATCTTCGTTGCTCTGCTAGCTGGTAAGTTTCAACCAGTGAACAAAGTACGTAGGATCTGATCAAACCATGAGATCCCCAGGTGTACCCTATTGACAAACTCCATGCGTTCCAGTTCCAGGTGTCATGTCGCCAACTTTGATACCGACCCTGCCAAACAATCCAAATATATCCAAGGTAGATTACTATGTCCATAACTAAATGGGGTGTTCCTAAGTCATGGGGGTAACCCCAGTTCTCATCCATTTTAATTGGAGTTTCCATGATAAATCATCTATTTTGGGGTACCGGGTACCCCCATGACTTAGGAAACCTCCAAATGGGCAAAAAGCCGCAGGGCGCACCGGTAGGTCCAGCCGGAAGGAGCTGCTCAAGCGATTGCGCACACGGATCAACTCTAGCCTCGGAGGGGCTGAGCCAACCTTCGAAAACAAATAGATAAATTGGTATGGATTTAGGGTTTAAATGAAATTTGGTATATTTTTTGCCATCTTTTGGGTGGTGGGCTATGAAATCCTCTTTTTAGAATCTAAAAGAATCCAACAGACGTTGTAAATGAGTGATCTTTGGGGGGAATTCCAATGGAATTTTCCTGCCAGTCCCGAACTGAAAGGCTGACCTTGGGATGACAAATTTAAGAACTCTCCCTGGTGGGCTTAGGTCCAAACGAATCCAGGCCATAGTCAAAGAAGCCCTTGTGCAGATCATTTCGGTCAAGCCTCAAAATTCAGCCACAGCGCTGGCAGACGTGAACCCTAAGTGATTTTTGATGAGGCCATGGCGAGGGACGCTGAACTATCAACTTTGTTGCGTTCGGTATTTGTTCGGTACATCTTCATCCCCAAAACAGCCCCAACTGTGTGGGATATCCAACCAACATGGATAAAACCTGTGAGCGGACCAAAGGGAGCCACTGATTTTCGCTAGTCATTGTTTCGTAGGCTAAAACAGCCCATTCTTGTGGGTACTCCAGCATCCCCATACCAGCACATATCATATTTCAATTTGGCACGGGAAAGAATACCCTAAATTGAATGGATGGCCATTTAGATGGCCAGGGCTGGCTTGCAGCATCCAAAAACAAACATCCCATCGTGTTTCACCATTTTCTTGGGGTCTATCGTGATGTGGAAAACACCGAATGATAGACCCAAATATGGGACCATGGTTTATAATACCCTGAAATTGACAAAGTTACCCCCCAAATCGGGCGTTCACAAAACATTTGCCGAAGTAACCCAAATCTCCATTTGTTCACTCAATCTCATAAACCCCAATTGGGAGGAGGTTGTATGGCATTGGGTTTACCCGGCAAATGAACATGTTCCCATCCACCATTTGTAGATCATGTTTCAAGAGGAAACCCATGGACTTCCTCATCTGTTCGTTTACCTGAGGGTATCCAATATTGGTCCAAAATCCTTCAAAACGCTTGGACTGACACCACCACAAAAACCAGGCGGTGTCATTCGTTGCTTTGCAGAAATCCGTACCTCGGAAGTTTCTCATCTAGTAAGTCATCTAGAGCCTTTGATCATTATATATACGTGTATGCCAATAATTTCAAAAAACAAGATGAAGCCCACGAACCCGAATGCTCACACGTATGTTAATGGTACAGATGTCAAAACACATGGTTATGCAGTCACGCACAATACCTTTCTGCAATAGTTTGTTTGAACAGTCCTGTGCATGTTTCCCTTGTTACCAGTCTGCAGTGTGGAGTGGAAAGTGTACAGTATGGCGTGTGGAGTGTGAAGTAAGGAATGTGGAGTGTAAAGTGTGGAGTGGGGAGTGTAGAGTGTGTAAAGTGTAGAATGCGGAATGTAAAGTGTAGAGTGTGGAGTATGGAGTGTAAAGTGTAGAGTGTGGAGTGTAGAGTGTGGAGTGTGGAGTGTAGAGTGTAGAGTGTGGAGTGAGGAGTGTTGTAAAGTGTGGAGTGAGGAGTGTGGAGTGTAAAGTGTGGAGTAGAGTGTATAGTGTAGAGTGTAAAGTGTAGAGTGTGGAGTGAGGAGTGTAAAGTGTAAAGTGTGGAGTGTAAACTGTGGAGTGTAAAGTGTGGAGTGAGGAGTGTGGAGTTTGTAAATTGTAGAGTGTGAAGTATAGAGTGTAAAGTGTAGAGTTTAAAGTGTAGAGTGTGGAGTGTAGAGTGTAGCGTGTGGAGTGTAGAGTTTGGAGTGTGGAGTGTAGAGTGTAGAGTGTGGAGTGTGGAGTGTACAGTGTGGAGTGTAAAGTGTGGAGTGAGGAGTGTAAAGTGGAAAGCGTGGAGTGTAAAGTGTAAAGTGTGGAGTGTAGAGTGTATGTGTAGAGTGTAAAGTGTGGAGTGTGGAGTGTAAAGTGTAGAGTGTAAAGTGTGGAGTGTGGAGTGTGAAGCGTAAAGTGTGGAGTGTAAAGTGTGGAGTGAGCTGTGTAAAGTGTGGAGTGTGGAGTGTTGAGTGGAAAGTGTGGAGTGTGAAGTGTGGAGTGTGAAGTAAGGAGTGTGGAGTGTAAAGTGTGGAGTGAGGAGTGTAAAGTGTGGAGTGTGTGTAAAGTGTGGAGTGTAAAGTGTGGAGTGTGGAGTGTGGAGTGTAACGTGTGAAATGTAAAGTGTGGAGTGAGGAGTGTAAAGTGTGGAGTGTAAAGTGTGGAGTGTGGAGTGGAAAGTGTGGAGTGTGAAGTTTGGAGTGTAAAGTAAGGAGTGTGGAGTGTAAAGTATGGAGTAGAGTGTATAGGTATAGTGTAGAGTGTGAAATGTAAAGTGTGGAGTGAGGAGTGTAAAGTGTGGAGTGTAAAGTGTGGAGTGTGGAGTGGAAAGTGTGGAGTGTGAAGTTTGGAGTGTAAAGTAAGGAGTGTGGAGTGTAAAGTGTGGAGTAGAGTGTATAGGTATAGTGTAGAGTGTAAAGTGTAGAGTGTGGAGTGAGGAGTGTAAAGTGTAAAGTGGGGAGTGTGGAGTGTAAAGTGAGGAGTGTAAAGTGTGGAGTGAGGAGTGTGGAGTTTGTAAATTGTGGAGTGAGGAGTGTAAAGTGGAAAGCGTGGAGTGTAAAGTGTAGAGTGTGGAGTGTAGAGTGCAGTGTGTAGAGTGTAAAGTGTAGAGTGTGGAGTGTAAAGTGTAGAGTGTAAAGTGTGGAGTGTGGAGTGTGGAGTGCAAAGTGTGGAGTGCAAAGTGTGGAGTGAGGAGTGTAAAGTGTGGAGTGTGGAGTGTGGAGTGGAAAGTGTGGAGTGTGAAGTGTGGAGTGTAAAGTGTGGAGTGTAAAGTGTGGAGTGTGGAGCGTAAAGTGTAGAGTGTGGAGTCTGGAGTGGAAAGTGTAGAGTGTGGTGTGTAGAGTGTGGAAAACCAGAGACTCGAGACGAGGCACGTGGGTGCAAAAAAACGAGCATTTCGTGCGAGTCTTCCTCCAATTTTGATTTTTTCGACACGTTATCAAACAGGTTGGAATGTCACAAAGTTCCACGCCTGCCACGCAAAACGACATGACAACCTGCTTGGAAACATTCGAAAAGGACAGGTTTTCCAGCTTCCCCCATAGACACGGCGACGCCACAGGAAAACCAGCGGCTCGAGACAAGACACGTAGGAACATCAAAACCAGCATTTCGTACGAGACTTCCGGCAATTTTCACAGTTGGCAACATGACAAAAGGACATGTTTTGCAGCTTCCCCCATAGACACGGCGAGGCCACGGGAAAACCAGACACGCGAGACGAGACAGGTGGAAGCACCAAAACGAGCATTTCGTGCGAGACTTCCTCGAATTTCACACTTTGTAGCTTCAAAATCGACGTTTTCCTACGAGTTTTCCTTAGAACCTGAAAATTTGCAACCTCAAAATCGATGTTTCGTGCGAGGCTTCCGTCAATTTTCAGCACATCGCACAAAATGCCACGACTGCCACGGAATTTACACCTTGTCGCCACTTGACGCAGCCCTGCCAATGCGATTTGCAAAAAACACGCAACACGACACGTCTAAAGTGCTGCGCCTGCCACGAAAAATGACGATGGACACGTCCAAAGTGCTGCGCCTGCCACGAAAACTGCAACACATCTTATGAAAACGTCACAAAAGTATTGCGCCTGCCACGTAAAACCACTTTCGACACGTTCCAGAACACGTCTGACTGTCACGAAGTGCCACGCCTGCCACGCGAAACGAAGCAACGACACGTCTGAAAACGCCAAAAAGGACCACCTCTGCAAAACTTCCCATAGGCACGGCCATATGGTCCTCGCGCGGACGGTTGCGAACGGTTGCGGACGGTTGCGACCACAAACGCAACGTCGAGCGAACACACCCTCAACCCCCAGACCCCCAGAGTGAAACGGGAACCCTTGCTACGCATTCGGGAATAATACCGCAATAATCCTACTAATCACTAGGTTCACTACTCAAATTATACGCTAAGCGCCAAAAAAAGATACTGCTGAGGGATTCTTGGAATATCCCCATATATATACCGCAACCCCAGGAGTCTACATGATTTTCATCGCCATAGCAGACCCAAGTGTTGGCCATATATTCCCATGATATCCTCGTGTGATCCCCATTCTTCCTGGTTCAATCCACCATTTTAGATGATAAAACCATAAGGCTTGATGTGAAATAAACATCAAATACAATGCATGGAAAACATATTAAAACCCATATTAAAACCCATCACTTTCCCCAGATCTTCCATCATTTTCCCCAGATTTCCCCCTGAAAAGCCCATCATTTTGTGGTCGCCAAGTGGCTTGTAATCCAACTCCTCCAGAATCTGCGCCACCACTTCGATGCTGGGCACCTCCACCTTGGCCTTTGGAACCTGGACAAATCGGAAATCGGCAGCCGTGGATCAAGCCATCCGGCAACCGAAACATCCAGAAATAAATGTTTGAAACAGCGTTTTATATGGGGGTAACTATCAAGAAAAACAGGTTTTGTAACTATCATACCGACAATAGCTGTGATTATGATGAAACACTGGGACTATGATTTGGGTTTTTGTCATGGGATGGAGAAACCATCTGCCAACTGGTGCAGGATTTCGCAACCATCCACAGTATGCATAGGGAACATGGTGTGTACCCCCATTTTATTGCCAACCTCCTGGTGAACATGATGATAAACCAGGCTTTTCGGGGTGTCCTTTTTCACACGAACCAATTTCTGGTGTTTACAGCCGCGATCTTGCTTAGAGTTGGGTGGAGATTGGCACTTCACCACATGAGCATAGATACAAACAACCATATGGATATGGGTATCTGTGTGTATATACATACATAGGTATACATAATATATTCTTCCACAGATGACCCCACTTGGTGTTGCAGATCACCCCACTATTTGGATCAATCGACACTGCATGGCGGCCTCCACGTCAAGTTGTCGGGTGAGCGCCTTGACGTTGTATTTGATGAGCACACCCACCTCGCTGCAAGGTGTTTCAGGACGTTCAAGATGTATAGAATGTGTATAGTAACCAAAAAAAAATGCTGAAAAGGTTAACTTGAGCCCTATTTAGGTAGGATTTCACATTGGTATGTATGTATGTATGTATGCATGCATGCATGCATGCATGCATGCATGTATGCATGCATGTATGTATGTATGGATGCATGCATGCATGCATGCATGTATGTATGTATGTATGCATGCATGCATGGATGCATGCATGCATGTATGTATGTATGTATGCATGCATGCATGGATGCATGCATGCATGTATGCATGCATGCATGCATGTATGTATGTATGTACGTACGTACGTACGTACGTATGTATGTATGTATTTATATATATATATTGATGGATAGATTTAAGGAAACTTGGGCCTCACATCTTCGGAGTTTTGGGACATGCAAATTCCGCTGCAAACATCGCAAGTCCGATAAGAAGACACACCGCATCAGTCACATCCAGGGGGCATGAAACTCAACTTGTCAAATCGATTGCCTTGGAGAACTTAGATATTTCATTATCTTTCTCCCATCTCTCAAAGAAAAATAAGCGACTTCCCCGCAAAGTCAATCAATATAAAACATATGAATCCATGTAAATCAATATTACATCAATATATTTAAAAATAAAAAATAAATCATCAGAATTTCCCGACTTCAGGACTCCCATCCCATCATCCCAGGCACGCCCTCGTTGTCCACGTCCTCCGGCCGGAAGCTGGGCACCAGCCGCAGCACTTCGGCGCCGTAGCTGGTGTGGAAGTCCAGAATGGGATCTGCCTAAGAACGTAGCGGGCTAGGGCTAGGGCCCAGCAAAAATATGGGAGACTCTTAACAAGAACCATAGCGATATGTATGATATCTATATATACATATTTATATATGTAATTAATTAATTAATTAATTAATTAACTAATTAATTAATTAATATATATATATATTAATGTGGAATGTAAACCTTGATGGGTCCACAAAATGATTGATGATTTTAACCTCGTTTCACAAATTTTAAACTTTTAAACCATCCCATGAGGGTAGATAAGTTTCGAAGCCTGGGCCAATGAGAGCTGAATGATGATGGCCATTACCAAATGAACTTGGCATTTGGCCAGGGAAAAAGGTAGCGAAATAATGCAAATATATATATATATCAAAATATGGCAACATGGGCACGAGTTGGGATGGCGTTTTGAAACCGAATTTGAACTTAGAGCGACAGAAAGGAGAAAATGCTTGCCCGATCTGCCAATGACACATGATTAAGTGCACAGCTGCTGTGGGCCCCCGAGCGATACGGCCAGCTTTATGGTCATCGACCTCGCTGGGGAAATGTCCGGTTTTTCTCTGTCGCATGTTTGCAGTCCAAAAGAATCAAAACAAGACTGGGAAGCGGCAAATGGAACGCAGAAGTGGAAAGCAGGTGACCGCAAACTGGGATGCAGGGAGCCTTGAATAACCATGAATAACCTATATATAATATATATATATATTATAACCAATCACTTGATTCACTTCCCTGGCTAGGTCCACCCGCGTACTGCTGCATGCTTCGCTTGGGTTTCGCGGAGGCAAAGTCTTGGCATCGAGTGACCTTGCTGCGGAAGCTCGGACAGGGTCAACCTGTTGATGACACGGTCTCTCTCAACATCGATGCGAATAGAAAAAGTGTCATGTGTTTCTTTGCAAACCAAGAACATGTGCCAAGATGTGCCAAGTAGCAAACAAATGATTTGTTGGGGGATGTATACCCTCTGGTAATCAAACATCGCTTGCTGGAAAATCCACCATTTCGTTCGATGATGTTCCAAGCTATAAACCTCCATTTCGTGCGGGGATTTTGCAGCCAGCCGTGTTTCATGACGGAGGGTCCCCCCAAAACCAGCCCTTGGATGTGCCACTGATTTCATGTCCTATCCCATCAGAAGCCCTTCATTCCTTTGTCCCAGGTGGCCCCACGCCCACCACGAAGTCTACACTGGGATCCAGTCGACCCAGATGAAGCCTCGTTCTGTCGCTGAATCCACCGCTAAACCAAGGTTTCTGCAGAGTGTTGGAATATGTTGGAATATTGTTGGGAAGGAAATTCTTGACGTCAACCAGATGTCTGAGATGATCATGTTTTTGTATGTTTTTGTTGGCAGGTTTTTTTTTTCAGAGATGCAACTGAAACCACCAGATGATCTATGCCTACAGATATCTTACAGCCTGGAGGACCGTGGGGCCCCTGACGCGAAGGACCTCAACTCGTAGCCGATGCCCATCTTGCTCACTTCTGGGTGGGTGGCGATGGCAATCAGCTGTAGAATACGGCCCTCCTGAGCTGTTGCGGCAGCTGATGTCTCAAAAAGAAATCTATGGCAAAGGTTCCTAAAGATTGGGGAAAATTGATGGTGATTCTTGGGGATATGTTTTGTTTTTTTTTGGATTTCGATCAAAATAGAGTTTTGGGTCGGTTTGCGAGTGGCCATCTAGCATCGCCTGCCCATCAACCAGGTGGCAACGGGACATCAGTGTCTCAGTGTCTCCCAAACTCATAGCCTTTGAATGATGTCCTGCAAACGGTCATGGGGAATCAATCAACATCTCCCAAGAAGCGAGGCGGTATAGCCTAGGTTGACCCCATAGCCTTCCTATGAAGCATCATTCTACAGTGTTCTACAGGGCTGAAGATAATGCAAATGCTGCAAACCAATGACCCCCAAAAAATCTGAGCTTTCGCACTGGCCGATGCATCTTGGAGATTTCCATAAACCTCGATGGGGAAACGGGCTGGAGGCTCCACAGGTTCCACCATTGTTCCACCTATCCGACCTATCCCAATCGTGAAAGTCTAGGTCTAGGTCCTGGAAACCGCATGACCCCCATTTCGGTGAACAACCCCATCTCATGGGGCAAAGTCTCGAAAACAGAGGTCAGTTGGGTTCCATACCATCTTTCCAAGTAGGAACGGGACACAAAAGGCACACAAGTGCTTGAAACCATTGTTGTATTTCAACACACCGTGCCAAGACATGGGCACTTCAAGATCATTCCAGGTTCAATTTCTGGGGTCCCTGGACCCACATCCCCAGGAGTTCCATGACTGGTACCAAGGACTCCCGGCAAAGCGTTGGACGATCATCCGAGTTGGCAGTGATCGTTCCTAAACACAGCTACCCTGCAACCATCTTTACTCCTCAGCAAGTGGGATTGCCATCTGATCCAGGCATGTGTAGTATCATATTTCACCCAGAAGCACCCAGTCAGATACCCCAAGTGTACCAAGGCACGTCTCATTCTCTACATCGCTCAGGGCAGCGATGCGCTGCATGTACAGCACTGCAACAACCTGAGATTCTGCCGGGGGGAGGGACGACCGGGAGCTGGCAGTGAAGCAAAGTAGTGAGTTTGGTGGATTTTTGACAGGATTTATCCAAGAAACGATGGGATGAATCCCTGAGGCAATGGTAGTTAGCTGTAGGGAGGGTGCGGTGGGGGAACGTCAGACAGCGGTGCACAGGGCAGCACTGCTGGGTTGCCAGCTTTGCCATCCATCACGCAAACCTCAGTCTTCCGCATCAGGGCTCTCTAAGGGAGATGCCGGCTACCCAAAAATGGCAACTTGAGGTGTGACATGGGATGTAGTGCAAATACCAATCATGTTCGGAAAATGTATCCTGTTTGCGCTTGAGTGATCCAAATCCTCCAAAATCCATCGCCTGGGGCTGAAAAATCCTAAATGTTATACATCTACTGCCCAACAAACCACGCAATTTCAGAAGTTCACGTAATTCCCATCTGAGTGAATTAAAGTAATTCTTCTACCAGAAGGGGCCCCCAAGTATTAAGTTGCTTTCTAATCCCATCTAACTTTAGATCTATCCAATATAAACATGTACAAACCCCGAAACAGTTCTACCAACCGAGCTGTCTTCTCTGGGGCCCCCTAAACCATCCCCAAATCCCGACCCTTTCCCAGGTCTCCCAGGTCTCCCAGGTCTCCGTGCCAAGTTGGTGGTGGGTGAGGTCTCTAAGCGCGTTTTCAACACTTCAGAAGTGGCCTTATGGGATGGACGTTGGAGTCTCTATATATATATGTGTGTATATTATAACTATATATATATATGATTATATGTATGTGTATATATATATGTACCCATAAATTTGCAAGTTAATGGGAGACAATGCCGTTGTGCTTGCAGGGATCGTACATCCGCCCAAATTGCGCTGTTGTCCTGTGATATGCGGTATATGATGGGAGTACTTTACCAATCAACCATTTGTGGGAAATCATGGGGATTTTGCTGGGATGTTACAACCAACAATATGATATGTGGGTTTGTTCGAAAAATGGGGCCCATGAGAAAGCAATTTTAATGGATGGAATAATGACAAACCAACAGGTTTCGGAGGATCATCCAATAATGTCGTGCACAAATGCTTGCATCTGAAATTGGCGTATACCCCCCTCCATGGCCATTAAGTGGTGAAAATGATGACTAACCATCAAATTATCAAATTTGGGGTTACCCTATTGCCCTATTGCCCTATTGCCATTGCATCTCTGGTGATTGGTGGAATTATTATATGATTCGTAGATTAATATGATCAGTATGATGTATCGTATTACATCTGATCATATACTGATTCATGTATGATTTGCTATTCGTGATTGGGGCATCATCTAGCTATTGGCTGTTACGGGGAGAGGGGCGAAACAGTGATTGATTTGGCCCTTCACCAGGTGGGATTCCCCAATGGTTCAACGGCGCTCTGTACCACAGTTACCTGGCTTGTTTGATGTACCCGGTGTTCACAAAGCATCACAAAGCTCTTTATGAAGCCTCCAAAAAGTGGTCGAAGAGGCTACCGTGGTATAGATCAAATTGAGAAAATGGTGAGCTGTTCACCAAGAGACCAGGCTAGCTGCACTGCAAATTGGTTGATCCGCGATTGTCATTTGGGGATATCAAACCATCGCATTTCCGGGGTCCGTAATTTTCTGGCGGTTCCAAGGGAGAAAAGGCCGAAACATAGAGACACCATGAGGACATACAATATCATACAATCACCCACGAACACCATGGTACCATGTGCAATTGATTATGATGTCCTCCAATGGTCCTCCAAGGGTAAAATGGTTTGGACCAACCAGACTGGGGTAACTAAATTTTAACAACCACGCCCTTGGTAGGTGACAGATCGGACTTGATCTGGATGAAATGGGTCAGGTTTTAGGTGAAAGGCCCTTGACAATGATGTCTTAGCACGAAGTACCTAGTTTAGGGGTGCCATCGGTTGTTCATTGTGGGGTACTTCTGTATCAATCAACCCATTCTGTGCTTTGAATCGGAACTACTTCGTGCCATGCCAAGAAATCCAAGGCACTCGCAAATTTTCGGCCCAGGCCAATTGCTCAAGGGCTAGCAGGCCTACAGAGATTAGTGGAGCAAGGCCCAGTTCAACTCTAGTGAAAAATGAGGTTCATTGAGGTTGTACTCGAGGGTTTGGCAATCCAAACAATAATGGAAAATGATGGTATCAAAAAAAACTGGTGATATCATCGCTAAATCTTGTTCTATTCTGGTGGGGTGAACTAGCCCAACGAATATGGCAGTTAATTGGGATCACCCCAGGATGGAAACCAACTAAATCATGACTAACCAGCTTGGCGGATTCTCCTACTTTGTCAGTGACTGATTTGAACTGTGGGGCAATCAACCCCTGGCTAGTGTAGTTGGGGAAGCAATTGTATAGCAGAATGTCACTTTTTGGGTACCACTCCCTAAGTGATCAGCCAATATGTGTGTATATAAATATATATATATATATATTTATTTATCCAGGTTGACATGTCTGATCATAGGTAAGTAGTACCGTATCTTCAGGGTGCCATGCTTCACACCAAGCAAATTGCAAGGTCTGAAAAACATCCCTTTGAGGACGCTTGCACCCATGGTGAATCTATTCAAAATGGTTGAGTTGTGAAAAAAAACAGTTTTGGCTGAAAACATGGTTTCAAACCTTGCAAATGGTCAATGCCTGTGTTCCTATCGGAAATCCAACCCCGCCACTCAAATTCTGCCCAAAGAATGTGGCCGAAGAGCTCTCCAAGTCCGACAACTCCGCAAAACGCACCGAGTACTTGCGCCTGCTAAAATGGATCAAAAAAAACGGCCAAAAGATCCGGTAGAAATGGACCCACCAATTTTGTCATTCTGAGTCTTAAGTCTTAAACTTAAACCATCCATTAAGGAATTTAGAAGTTTCACTATTTTAGCCATATCAGTTCTTGGTTGGCTCTTCAAGGGTTTCGGGGGATCCCGGCTGAATCTTCAATCCAACAATCAAGTCCTCGCCTCACCAAATGTTGGTTGATCACACGGCAGTACTTGCCCTGTTCGGGATACGTCTGAACCGCCCTTAGCGATTTGCTAGCTCTGATCAAATGGAGTGACAAACCAAGTGGGTCTGTCTGAAATTTTATGCGTAAATACTCCAAATTTGCTGGGGTTCCTTATTAAAATCGCCACTTTGTGGCCAAGAAAAACATGTCCAAGCACATCCATATGCCCTGCGAGATTTTGGAGGCATCCAAACTACACAAAGCAACTCAAAACACTGATTCAGGATTGCCTCAAACTTTAGAACCGCAAAATCCAGTGGATTATCATCGTTTGTTCAATTTGTTCCAATTGTTTTTTGTTTACGCCAGCGTCTGGTGGTGCCCCCCTCCCCCCGAGACGTTGATGGTCCCTATATGTATATGGATATATACAAAATTATACAATTATAAATGGATGTATCTATATGTATATGTAAGTTATATCCAAATATATGTAAGTAGTATACATTCAGGGGATTTTTCTGGTTCCTAATTTTCAGGGGAGCAGTTTTTTTGGTCAAAAACATGAATATATACATGGCATATACCTGGTATATACTGCCTAAATATGGTCAATATAGAAGGCTTATAGAAGGTTTTCTATACAGGTAGCAGCAACAAAGTAGTTGGTATATACAGATTATAAGAATGTGGAATTTAAACCAAGCATCACCAAGCAGCTTGCAGGATGACAGGGTCCGCTTTCCCTTTACTATTTTTTTCACCGAAGCGTGCCAGAGATTGTCATCTTTGATGACTAGGTCTTTTTTTCTTCTCCTGGTGTTTTCCAGTTGTCATCTTTGATGACTAGGTCTTTTTTTCCTTCTCCTGGTGTTTTCCAGGTTTCTTTGGTTTCTCCTTCTTATCTTTTTTTTTCTTGTCCTTCTTCTTTTTCTTTTTCTTTTTGTGATCACCATCGGAAAAAAGGTCCAGACTGTCTTGGACATCTGAACTCAGAGATAGATCATCCATAAAGTCCTCAAACGCTTTTTCAAGCTTTTCGTTTTTCTCCGGAGACGTGGGAGTTCCAGCATCTCGAGATCCACGGGGTGGTTCAGTTGACGGTGCACGTTTCATCCTCTTTGTCTTTGGCTTTTCATCAGTTTTTGGCTTTTCATCACAGTCACTGTCATCATCACCTTCAGGGAGCTAGGAAAAAAAAACCGTTGGGTCTCAATTTCACTGCTGAAAATGCTATCCAAAACTAGCCGCAAAGTTAAGTTGACATTAATTAAATGGGTTAGTCAGATACTTTTGATCTGCAGCATCCAAGCCTTTTAATTTTGAAGTGTCCACAGTCGGATCGCCAGTAAGTGTCTCAGTGAAAGCTTGCACCAACGCAGACTCTATAGTTTCTTGACTTGGTCGGTCTTTTCCGTCCTGATCACAGCGACTGTGTACCAGCAAAAACTGTGCAAAATTTATGGTCACCAAGTGTGTGTGTGTGTACTGCTGCTGCTAGTAAATAATCTGTGTGTGTGTATGTGTGCGTGCTGAAGCTATGAGTGCATCATCTGTCAGTCTCTCGACTCGATTGCCCCCCCATACTAAATAAATAAATATATATATATGTTTATATTATGAATTATAATGATCAGCTGACAACTAAAAGCTCAGACTGACCCAAAAAATAGCCAAGAGACACGTCCCTTTGCTATGTGGTTGCTCCACAAAAAGTCCAGTACATAGCTCAGTGCCGCCAGCTTGCCATCACTGCGCGAAGAACCCTCCCATTTCATCGCCACGGATTTTGTGGGCTTGCCAGCCGGGTAGTACCCTTCAAACGATTTCAGGTTAAAATCCATACAAATCCCACACCCCTTCCAATTTGGTTTCAAGTCCTTCACACATTGTGGTGTGGAGTTCTCCCTCTCAGCTCTTTCTCCAACCCGTCGAGTGACCTCCTGCTTGAACCTGTTGTCGAGAAGTTTTTGGTCAAGCCGCTGTCGCAAACCATCAAAATCTGACTTGACCTCTAAATGTGGGATAGACTTGAGGGCTTCGTCCAAGACATCGTCAGGCACAAAATCTTTGAATTTCTGTGGGCCTGTGCATTTGATCAGTATCTCCATTTTTTCGTCCTCAGTCTTTTCTGCAAAAACCTTTCGAATCAAACTCCAAACCAAGGACTTTTTCCCAACTACCTTCTTAGACATTTTGACAATCTCGGATTTGATGTGGTGATTCATACGCCGCAAACGATCTTCGGTGATACCAACCATGGCACCATGTCCGAGCATGTGGCGCAGCAATGATTCAGGGCGTCCAGTCTGCTGTAGTAGTAAACCATGATGGCGTAGGCCACGTGGAAGGTTGTCAGAACAACCTCGTCAAATAGGCATACAGATTAAACGTAACAATACTAGACTTCATTAATTAATTGTTTATTATTGTTTGTGGCACACAATTTCACATAGACAAAAAACACTAACAAACAAGCAAGCAAGCGAGCAAGCAAGGAAGCAAACGATTTTTAAACAATCAAACACCAGCAAACAAAAGCAAGCAAGCAGCATGCAAGCAAGCAAACAAACAAACAAACAATCAATGGAACAATCAGTGTAACAAACAATGAAACAAACAAACAAACAAACAATCAAACAAACAAACAAAGAAACAAACAAACAAACAACCAAGCAAGCAAACAAACAAACAAACAAAAAACAAAAACAAAAAACAAAACCAAACAAACAAAGAAGCAAAAAAAGACAAACCTGAGTAAGCAAAGATGAGTGTTAGAACTTGAATGGAATTCCTGCAAACTCCTCGTTCTTGTCCGTGCGTTCTAACCCACTCAATCCGGTGACTGTCAAAAACTCCAAATTGCGAACAGCGGTCTGATGATCGTTGCAGCTAGGTGACTTGTAGTAGGTGTCAGAGACTTCAGCATCAGTCTGAACCGGTTCAAGCACCCAGCCAAGTGCAATGTACTCCACAAACCCCAGGCAAACAAATACAGTCATGTCATGCTTCCTTTGGTAGAGAAGGCCGCGCTGCAAGACACATCCCGCCCACAAATCTCCAACCCCATCATAGCAGAATGCCCGAGCTTGCATTATGCCAATCAGTGCAGCGACTGCTTTCTCATCGGTTTCTGTTCCGGAAGGCTTTACATCCTGGCGGCTGGAACCCGGTCATCTGAGGACGGATAGAACAAAGTGAAGCAACATAAGAATCAAATGCAGATTGAACCATCCAAATAGATAATCAGTTGAAAATTTAAAAAACATGTTCTCTTGATATTCAAAGAGATGTCCTGGTCAGTTGGATTTTCCCGAAGATAGGATATTGCTTTTGCCACAACTTGAGACCCCTCATCTGCTGGCTGGTTGTACTTTCTCGGAAGAAAGTCATCAACCACAACCTTGAATCTTTTCCCATGAGCCAAAAGGTCCCCTTTCTGACATTTCAACATTGCGCAAGGGACAGCAGAAAGTCTCTTGCTGGTAGCAGCGCAAAACATAGTCCGCGTCAGTGATATGTCCTTTCGCCTGTTTTGACGACGTAGGTTGGTCAACTCTTGCAAGATGTCCTCTTGTGTAGTCTTCGTGGTTGATATCCCTGAGAATAGCCGCCACACAAGTGGCCAAAGGAAAGTGACAATGGTGTCCGTGTCCCAACCAACTGCGTTGCATTTCGCCAGCGCCAGCTGGATCAGCGGAAGTCGTGGCCACCACAACTGGTCAATTGCTTGCTTCAAAGCCTCAAGGATAAGTAAGTGTGCTTTAAATTCCTTTACTTCGTGTGATCCCCACCATGACATTTATCGATTCGTTACTGGCAAATCTTCTGGCATTCTATCTGACATATCTTCTGGCATTCGATCTGGCATTCTATCTGGCATATCTTCTGGCATTCTATCTGGCATATCTTGTGGCAAATGTTCTGGCATATTATCTGGCATTCTATCTGGCATATCTTCTGACATACCATCTGGCATTCTATCTGGCAAATCTTCTGGCATTCTATCTGGCAAACATTCTGGCACTTTATCTGGCATACCTTCTGGCATTCTATCTGACATTCTATCTGGCATACGCTCTGGCATTCTATCTGGCATATTTTCTGACATATGTTCTGGCATATCTTCTGGGATTCTAAGTATCTGGCATTCTAAGTATCTGCCTGGCATATCTTCTGACATTCTATCTGGAAAATCTTCTGGCATTCTATCTGGCAAACATTCTGGCATTCTATCTGGCATATGTTCTGACATGCTATCTGGCGTTCTATCTGGCATATCTTCTGGCATATCTTCAGGCATTCTATCTGGCCTTTGAGGTCCAGCGGTGCTCACCGAGCTCGGAAGGTCCCAGGTTGAGGTCCAGCGGTGCTCACTGAGCTCGGCAGATCCCAGGTTGAGGTCCAGCGGTGCTCACTGAGCTCAGCGGGTCCCAGGTTGAGGTCCAGCGGTGCTCACGGGCTCGGAAGATCCCAGGTTGAGGTCCAGCGGTGCTCACTCAACTCGGCAGGTCCCAGGTTGAGGTCCAGCGGTGCCCAGTGCGCTCAGACCCTTGCGTGCGGAAGTTGGCGAAGAGCTTGGCGAAGAGTTGGCAAGGCGGAAGTGAACATGGAAGTGGAGGCAGAGGTGGTGGAGGAGAAGGAGGAGGAGGAGAAGAAGGAGGAGGAGGAGGAGAAGGAGAAGAACAACTCTGATAAAATCTAACAACCATCACCTGGCAGGTGGGGGAAAAACATCTTGATAAATTGTCCTCCAAGCCAGTATATCGAACAACAAAAAGCAGCGACTGTTTGGAGAAAACTCTGATCATAAACCATGGATAAGGCTAGGGGCAACTCTGTCATGGTTGGTTGGATCTTGCATGGCTTCCTTTGCTTCAATCACCGCCTTCCCCATGTCAATGAACCGAGCCAAAGATTCACGAGCCCTTGCTGTGTTTTGGTCCAGCAGCCCTGCCCACATCTCAGGCAAGGAATGTGAGTAGCTCAACATAAACCAAGACCTCTCAGATGCAGACGCTACTGTCAAATCCCAAAATGATTCGGCATTGCTGACTTGAGTTTCACCACTCAAGTGGAGCCCAGAACAGTCAACACGTTGAAGGACAACAGGGTTGTGGAGCTGAGAAAACAAAAGTCCAATCTCGTCTCGGACCCACTCCATGTTTGCTCTCTTGGCTTGGAACTGTTGAGCATTGAATGCATCCCGGCTACAACGAATCGCCCTCAAGTGAGACTTGAAAATGGGCGTTTGGCAGTAGTCAATCCTTAGTCGTCCAAACGACCACTAGTTTATATGAAATGGCAGATCTTGAACTTGTCAACATTATTGTTTGTCCCTTTCAAGTTTGTCTCCGTGATAGAGAAATAGACACATGGAAATGAAACCCTCGCAAACAGAAAGACCGAGAATCATACGACACTTGCTTTGCAGATCAAAAATCCGCAAGATCACTGTCGACAGCTGCAAATGGTTTGCACCTGATTCCAGCGCACCTTTCTTCATCGCTTTGATATCAAGTGGTTTTTCTGGTTTCTCATCGTCTCCATCAGAATCTTCCTGACGCAGGGGATGCCATGAAATTTCTGAAATGAAACTGGCTATTAATCTATTAGACGTGTTTATTTAGTCCGCCGCTATTAAACCTTAAGTTGAATAATTATACTTAGTTACTACTATTTTGGCTTGGTTTAAAGACATGTCCGTTTGGCAAACTCTCCTGTGGGCCACAAACCTTCTTCATCGTCAAGCGGTTTTTACCTTTCAGGTCTGAACACCTCTGGTTCAAAATCAGGTCGGTTGTCCAGGAAGAGTCTAGCCCTCCAAATTTCGATGTCCGGCTTGGGTCGTCTAGTTCGTCAAATGAAATGTCTGCCAATTCGTCATCCGACCCCTTCTTTGACAGACCACGAAAACGCACCAACCATGAAAACCACCGTCGCCCAGTGACCTGTCTCAGTTAACTCTCATTCAGAGCTGACTACAGACTGTCAGCGAAATTAAACAAAAACAACCCCCATTTTTGTTTTAGTCCACCATCAAAAAATTATGTGCTCTTGTCATGTAATTAGGAAAAAAAAAGGTTCTACTTCAGATCAGGCCTTGTCCTGGGGTCTGATAGCCTGTGCAGCGCAGTCAAGGAACATCTTGTGCAGCTTAGTGTTGCTAGGCCGTGATGACAGGTTGAAGTCTCTAGGTAAGTGATCGGCATACTCGAGAAATTCCTCTGACTCTGCCCCGAACACCTCCTCATATACTCGAACAGCCCTAGCTCTGGCGTTGCCAAAAGATTCATCGTTGTAAGCACCACCTCGATTTGCGTTCATCGCCACCATCACCGCTGGAATTACACCTGAGCCAGGGAACATTGCCGTTTAAGACTTCATTTTTTGTTTGTGTCTCTGAGTCTGAGTGGTGTGTGTGTTGTGTGTTGTGTATGCGTGTGGGGGTGTGTCAGTGTGTCGGTGTGTGTGTGTGTGAGTGGGTGATCGCAATTTTTTTCACTTCAAAACAGATAATAGAATAATAGACATATTAATAATACCCTGGTTGTGCAACGACAGTTCAAGTTTGACTAAACTCTGGAATACGTAAGCTGGAAAAACCGAAAACAAAACCCATCATTAATCTCAGTGTCAAAAAAATGCATGCTGAATATGTTGCCTCGTAACTTGCGAAACCTGCTGCAGCATTCAATGCCTTTGTGCACACGTTCTGGTCCATGTGCAGCGGGTCCCCCCGCAAGACTCCAAGTATGTCTGTTTGGTACAGCAAAGTGTTGATGTTCTTTGTCCTAAGATAGCTTAGCACAGGCAAACTAGCTCATATATTAAAACTCCATAACGAAATACTCAATGTCTTTCATTGATTATGATAACCTGCTTGTTCGATCCTCACCGCCGAGAAAGTAAAATTGCCTACGCCAGCTACAGCAACGAGGATCTGAGATCCTTCTCGGTCTGCCAGAAAAACCACCATGGGAATATCCTCAAACCGAATCCCATTCAAAGTCTCTGGGTCCATGCTGAAGGGGTCCTGTTCAAAAGTCATTCTGAACTTGTCGAGGTCGAGATGGAAAGTTCGTAGCCCTGATTCTACTGCAAGTAAAGCTTCAATAGGTGTCTTCTTGGCTGCCTTATGCATCGTTCTCACCCTCTTTGAAGCAGTCGTTCCAGACAGCGAAGCAGCATTAGCAGCTCTGATGCTGGCCTCAGGCTGATGTTGCCAAAGGTTCCAACGACATGAATGCTTCCTGGAGGTTTAAATTAAATCATTCAATTCATTGGTTGACCAATGCCTGTATTGTAGACTCATCCAAAATTATTCTGATTGTTAACACCCAGGGATACTTGCAAGCAGGTGATTTTTTTGGCCTAATTAACCGCATCCGTCCCCTTGATTGACTCAACAGCGAGCTACCACCCTTTCCATGATATCGGCTTTGTCCTCATTGTTCAGAATGTCGGCTCCACTGTCTGTCAAAGGCAATGCGTCCACCACCTGAACAGCAGTGCAGTGGGCTAACATGTGAAAACTCAAGTTGAGTTAGACTCACTAGGTAGCAAAAAAAGACTTTGAATTAGACATTTCTTGATTTGCCCCCTTACTTTCTGACACTAGCAACTCCAGAAATAAGTATGTTTCCCAACCACTGGAATAAACACCTGCCACCGCCGAAGTGAGCACAATTGTTTTATCGTCTTCCAGCTATTCACTGGCGGACTTCATTTCAGAGAGGGTTGAGCCAAAGCCTGTGTTTAAACTGGCAGCAGCCCCTAGAATAATGATAATGATAATGTGCAGTCGGCTAGTTGTGTCTATCCGAAAAATACTACCCCTCCCAACCTGTAGTGAAAGGACCCTTGGGGTGATCACCACAGGCGGATGGGCATATATAGTTCAATTCCAAAATTCTGTCGTCATCTCCCAGTCAGACAAAGCTATTTCCAGAAACTCAAATCTAGCTAGGCCTAGGATTTACAGCTGTCTCAAGCAAGTCGCTTTTGTTTCAAACTCTGAGTTGGACCAGTTGTAACTACAGAGTAACAAAGAACCGTTTTGTATAATATGGTTCGTTTGGTCACAAATTTTGGCAACCAGTAGCCAAAACAGTTGAACTTTTTTTTTAGACCTCAGAGTTTGTCGCAAGATTCCAACGATCTGGGATCCATTCAAAGAGAGCCAGTCATGTGTCTAGTTCAACCGGGCTCTCTTGGCCCATTGCTGAATTACATAGCCTTGATCATCTAACCACTCTGCAGGGGGCAATGGCATCAATTCATCATCTGAATCAGGAGCCATTGGTTGTGCCACATCCACTGATGCTGCTGCTGTTGAAGCTGACCCGCTGGCTGATGACGATGCTGAGGATGAAAAGGATGCAGGCATAACCGAAGATGCCCTAGTAGTAGATGCCGCCGCACGTGCTAAGCCTGCTGCAATCTTTAGAGGTAGAAGCCGAGCTGGTGGCTTGCCACATGAACTGTCTTGAAGTAAGCCTGTGAGCAGAAGTTTCCTTGAGCTGGGCTGCCTGGTGGCTCATGAACTTCTGTGTCACCACCGTCCTTGTCTGAGTCCGAATCTGGGGGGTTGGTCAACAAGAAGTCTCTCAAATCAGCATCAGGTGAAAAACCATCCTTGAGTAGCCGCTGACATTTCCGTGGACTCTGACATTGGACCCAAGCGTTCACTGCTGCATTGGCGTCAGACAAAACAAATGCCTTCCAACCACCATGCAAACAGGGCTGAGGCTCATTCATCGGCATCGGGCAGGTCAGGTGGAAGCAAGCAGCAGGCTATAGGCAGAGCTGACTACTACTGGTAGAAAAGAAATCGCTGCAAGGCAACAAAGTTCAAAGCTCAAAGCTGTTGATTCGCCAATCTGAATGAATCAAATCCATCGTCAAAACATATTATACTCTGCAATTCTCACATTGGAATCTGACTTCTGCAATGTCAGCCAAGTGGCAATACTATACTCTACAAACAGTTTCAAACTTTTGTACGACCATCCGGAATCAGCGAACGTGCTATATCCAGCGTGGCAGGCTCTGTCCGTCTGTGCGGCTGTCAGCCAGCTGCTGTTTGAGTTTGCTCTTGCAACTTAGCTAAGGCTAAGTCTTTTCAAGATTGGAGTTAATAAGAGTGCAGTAGTGGTAATCAAACTCTTTTCAGCCGACAGCCTCCGCCACCCTGCAGAACTTAGCAATATCCCCTGAAGCAAAAGAGGTCGGCCTGCATAAGGCTTAGCTTGCAAAGGAATTACCTTGGTCACTGCCTCCAACATGGTGCAAAATGGATTGTCACAAATTGCAGTGGGTTTCAAAAAAAATGTTAGTAGTAGTCGTTATGTTTTTCAAAAGAAGGATAATGACCCAGCTGTGGAACATTGACATTGATCCGTCCCACTGTCAAGGGCCTGGCCAATGTTACGACAAGCCTGCCTTTCAATATCATAATTTTAGTCAATAGACAGAAATTATCATCCATTTGAACATACATGATATTTTGCAGTTACATGTTAGTTGGTCTAATCTAATGTCAACTTGAAACTGAAAGGCTTGCCGCATTGCTGACCGTGCTTATCTAATACTGTCACCTCGTCACGTGTCTCTGTCTGCCTGACTTTCAGAAGCACAAAGAGTAATGTTTTAAACTTCTTTTCAGAAACTTCTTTTTAAGGAACATGTTTGAACATGTTTGAAAACCAACAGTCAAGTCAGCCAGTGACTAGATGTCACCATCACCAGAGCATTTGCTGTGCAGCACTCACCACCAGCGTCGGTCACCAAACCTGTGAGACAGCGGGCAATAAGCAAGATTCTTTTAATGGGTTCTGATGTGCTTGAATCAAATTGCTAGGTGAATTTCTCTAGTGCATTGACATTTGCCATAATTTTGCCCTTGGGGAAAAACATTGTTGAAGTCAAGCGCATGTAAATTAAGTAGCTGGGACGCCGCTAGTCTTGTAGAATGTGGTGCAGGCAGCCCCACTGCCAAAGCCACGCCTCAGGAATCTTAGCCAATTATTTGTTGCCTTTTTTTGCCATCCTGCAGCCGGTGCAGAGCTGAATTTTGCTGGTCAGGCTGCAAACGATTAAAGCAAACTTGGGAAAAGTTATAGAAAATTGCTAAAACCGGCTAAAACCAACAAAATTTGCCTTCCGGGAAAAGTTTCGGGGCTGCTATAACCAGGGGAGGGTGTATACAGCATAGACCGTGTATATACTGGGTATATGCTGCCGGGAGCAGTATATACCCAGTATATACTGCCTCCAGGCAGTATATACCCAGTATATACTGGGTATATACTGCTCCAGGCAGTATATACTGCGTATATACTGGGTATATAATCATTGAAAAAAACATAGTTTTTTGAGGAAATTTGCGTTTTTTGGGAGAAAATTATGGTTTTTCCTCGTTTTTCCTGTTTTTTTCTGATTTTTCCTAGTTTTTTCATGGTTTTCCTAATTTTCCATTTGTTTTCTCCCTTTACACAGGCCCTAGCCCCAACCCCAGACCCTGACAGTCCTCTTCTTAGGCTCGGGCTTCCCTGTCGTCTTTGGGGAACTTGGTGCCTTCTGGGAAAACATAGCAGGTACTGCCGGTTTCGGCTCTGCTTTGGGCTCTGCTGCTTTCGCCTCCACAAGTGCTGAAGCCGATGAAAAAGAGGTGCCCCCGTCCTCCTCCTTCTTGGCTTCCTCAACTTCCATCGTTGCATCCTCGTCCTCAGTCTCCTTCTCCGCCTTCGTATGTTCCATTATCTCGGTCTCACTCTCCTTCTCTGCTGCATGTTCCTTCACCTCGTCCCCATCTGGATCCTCAATCGGCTCGGCTGGCACAAGAGCCTCTGACACTGACTCATCTGGCTTTTCCATAAGCCTTGCCGGTGGTGCTGGTATTGGGACAACCTTATGAGCAGCAACTTCCCCCTTGAGTTTGTGTAGCTCTTCAAGTGCAGCCTCCTTAGCTGTTCGTTCTGCTTGGGCTTCGACTTTGAACTTCGAAAGAGCAGCTTCATCAGGAGCTAGGTTGAGCTTGTTCTTCAAGTCGGAAACCACAGCATCATGTCGACATTTCATCTCGAACTCAATCTTGTTAGCTGCTTCAAGTTTTCCCTTGAGGTGTTTAATCTCAGATTTGCTCTTTCCATGGGCAGCCTCTTCAGCTGCCAGCCTTTCAGCCAGCATTGCTACATCCTCTTTCAGTTTCTCACAATCCGCCAAAGTAGGGGCTGTTGTTGATGCTACTGATGGCGCGTCCTGGTCAGGGCACAAGAGTGGCAGGCTGACCAAAAACCAAGTTGTCTTTTACATGACAGTCAGCT